CAGAATAACAACTGTCTGAAAGTTTTAAACAAGGTTAAAAACTGGTGTCAAGCCTCATTTACATGGATCAAAAAACTGTTCAAATTTCCATCTGTTTGGTCTAGATCAGTTTCACATCAAGAAAGTTTCCTTCCACCAGGTCTAAACTAGGACAACTCTGCTCTATGAACTCCAGAGAAATCCACCAGATGGAGCTCTCGTACCACAGTTTGACAAGCACTGGTCCTATGCTGCATCTGAGATCCTTAACGTTACATTTTCAGCAGACTTAAAACAGCTTTGTTCACATGCACACCAACATCTGATCATTGGACGATTATTTCTGGACCTTTAAAGAACAAATATTATGCATTTTAATTGCTATAGGCCTTTAAAAACATGCTCTTGAGTTCCTTTGCTTTGGAATCTCATGACTTGGAGCCTGTAATAATGCCTATTTACAATACATTGTCAACAGACATGATTTCACAGCCTCAGTGCTCTATACACTCTGATCTACTGCAGCACGCCATCTACTGGCAGCAGAGGGAATTATGGAGAGCGCAGCAGTGATGAGCACAATCAGACAGCACAAATGCCTGCAGATCTGTGACACCACAGGAGGTTTCACAGTGTTCATTAAGGCTGAGATGCAAAGGACCTTTCACTGATGAGCTGCAGCCAGAGTGAATGATGCCAAACAACTCCTGGTACATGTTTAGTACATGTTACATGCACTCACAATTAGATTATCCCAGTTGTAGAATGCTGCCAGTGATGTAACAGTTTCCCTTTAACCTACCCCCCCCCCCTTGAGACTTGGTTCACTGTACTACCAGAAATGTATAAAAACTACACTGGTCAAAAATGAATTAAAGATTGAACGATGGCAGAAAATTATATTTATTCACTACCAATTGAATGGGATTCAACTGTTAAATAAAAATGATTTGTTCCATGTAACTAAGTCAATGGAAAACCCCAATGTTATTGAACTTTAAACAGTCACCTGGCTGTAGTCGTCCTTCATGTGTGTATTGTATTAGAATTACTTTATACATCTTATTCTATCAGACTGGGACTGACCTGGCTGTATTTGCCGTCCTTCACGTCCTTCTGTCTGTTCAGGAACCAGTCTGGGATCTTGTACTGACGAGGGTTCTGCATGATGGTCACCACACGCTCCACCTGCACCCAAAACAATGGTCTCATCACAATGTTCTCCACCAAGGAACATTCTCAAAGGTTTACCACAGAGCTCTCACCTCCTCCTCTGTCAGCTCTCCGGCTCTTTTGTTCAGGTCAATGTCGGCTTTCCTCAGGACCACATGAGCGTAACGTCTGCCAACTCCCTGAAACACAAAGTCAAACATTTCATTTACATGGGCACGGTCACAGAGTCACTGCAGAGGGGTCCACTTCCATTCACTGAAAAGACTTCAGAAGTGGCGGCTACGGCACAAGACAAAACATATGCATCTTACTCAGGTCAAGTTTAGTTCAGATTTCAGAAAATTATTTGATGCAATGTAGTCATACTTTACAGTGCATTTATTCTCTCCACACCCTGATGGTAAGACACTTGCCACAGCTGCCCTGGGGCGGACTGAAGTGAGACTACCAATCTGAATCATCAGGCCCTCCAACCACCACACAGTAACATGGGGGAAGGACACAGACAAGACTTGGTTCAAGAAGGAATCAATCATGGGACCCTCAGTTTGTGGGTCCACTGCTCTAACCATCGAGCCACTGTCAGCCTTAAAACTGACAATAACCCATGACTGAAGATAAAAGTAATTATAGCTTTCTAAAAGCTGTTAAAATGTGTAGAAATTTATAATTTGATACACTTTAGACAAGCTGAATTGTAAGCTCCTTCAGAAACAGCACTTTAGGATTTGACCAAAAGAGCAGGTGGGGTTCTGAGAGCCTCACATTTATCTCAACTTCTGACTGCACATTTCTTTAAAGAGTCTCTTGACTCCCCGATCACAGTGTGCTTAGATCTTTAAACCAAAGCAGCTCTGACCGAGACCCAAATGTGGTAACAACATTCACCATCCAACAGGTACGCTGCCCAAGGACAAAACATCAAACCAAAGCGCTCACAGCCAGCTTGTGCTCACCTTAATGGCAGTGATGGCGAAGGCGATCTTCCTCCTTCCATCGATGTTCGTGTTCAGGACACGAAGAATGTGCTGGAACTTCTCAGGGATGACCAGAGACTGGACACAACAAAACGAGGTTAGATTCAGATCAGAGTCACAAAAGCACCCACTTTCCCGCTTTAATGAACTATACACATCTGCTGCATCAGGCTGTAACTCCACATGACACTAACACTGACCTCAACAATAACAAGTTTTCCACACAACTGCTCAAGTTTTATGCAGAAGTTCAGGTCACAGAGACGAGCAGAAAGACTCCACACATCAGCCTCACGCTCACAGGCTTTTCACAATTAAAACGGAGAAATAAACTATTCTCGTTCACGTAACCTTACTCTATGGCATTTTTTTATTTACTAAGTAGATTAAGATATTAAAAATAAAGATGGTTTTGTAATTTAATCCTGAAACGTGTGACCGGCGGTAGTTAGCCAGAGTCGCTCAACAAACAAGCCCGTCTGTGTGACTTCTACAGCCGTAATCTTCCTAATTTAGACGTTTGATGAAAGTTAAACACGAATGGGACCCATATAAACCGTGATGGTGCTTTGAACGGTGTTTTAAAAGACGGATGATGCAGGATTTCGCTCTTAAACCGCGTTAGCAGAATCACACTCACCATCTTGAACGAATGTTCCGTGCGAAGAGGAAGTCGCACCGTTTCTCGCGAGAGTTTGGTCCTAGATCAGACAGGAAACAAATCCGGCGCTTTAAATGTGTCCGGTCAGCAAAATAAAATGAGATAAAAATAAGACGAATTTACAAAGTGCACGGAAAGGATTCTGCCATGACTGATATAGCGAGTAATCTTAATTTTATTGACAGTCTTAAAATGGAAGGCAAAAAAGGAATTATTTAATACATGCTACATTAAAACCAAGCGGAACCTAATTTGTGCCTTTGTGCAGTCGCGATGGCGGAGCTTTCTGTTGTCCGGATGTAAACAAATGAAGAAATTCAACAAAAAATAAAGATTTACGTGCTTAAACTTTATATATAAATGTTCTTTATACGGCCTATGATTACGTGACGATAAAACAACTGTTTTGGCGATTATTCTATGCAGTTTAAGTAAATTTGAGTGAAAGCAGAGCCCGTTCCAGTAGAAGAAGTAGTAATAGTAGTAGTAGTAGTAGTGGTAGTTGTAGTAGTAGTAGTAATAGTAGTAGTAGTAGTAGTGGTAGTTGTAGTAGTAGTAGCAGCAGCAGTAGTAGTAGCAGTAGTAGGAGTAGCAGTAGGAGGAGGAGTAGTAGCAGCAGCACTAGTAGCAGTAGTAGTAGTAGTAGTAGTAGTAGTAGTAGTAGTAGTAGTAGTAGTAGTAGTAGTAGTAGTAGTAGTAGTAGCAGCAGTAGTAGTAGTAGTAATAGTAGTAGTAGTAGTAGCAGCAGTAGTAGTAATAGTAGTAGTAATAGTAGCAGTAGTAGTAGTAGTAGTAGCAGTAGTAGTAGTAGTAGCAGCAGTAGTAGTAGTAGCAGTAGTAGTAGCAGCAGTAGTAGTAGTAGTAGTAGCAGTAGGAGGAGTAGTAGCAGTAGTAGTAGTAGTAGTAGTAGAAGCAGTAGCAGTAGCAGTAGTAGTAGTTCATTGGGACCTGTTTACTTGTTTACTCATTAACTTAAATGTACTTAAATAACTTATGTTCTTAAATTATAAAACTGGTCTCTGCTGCATTGTTTTTATGCAGTTTGACAGCTAGTGGAGTTCTCTGTCATCTGTACTCAGACTGATGTTTAATATAACTCAGAAAGTTCAAATGTAGGTTAATTTTATACAGCACAATTATTTAATTATCACGGAAATGTATGTATGAATATGAATAAAATGCTTGAATTCTATTATGTCCTTCCATTCTTCAAATCCACTGGACTTTAACCAGGACTAAACCAAGACTAAACAAGGACTGAACCAAGACTGAACCAGGACTAAACCAGGACTGAACAGGACTAAACCAGGACTGAACAGGACTAAACCAAGACTGAAATAGGACTAAGCCAAGATTAAATCAGGACTGAACCAAGACTGAACCAGGACTAAACCAGGACTGAACCAAGACTGAACCAGAACTAAACCAGGACTAAACCAAGGATTAAACCAGAACTAAACCGAGATTGAACCACTACTAAACCAAGACTAAACCAAGACTGAACCAGGACTAAACCAAGACTAAACAAGGACTAAACCAGGACTAAACAAGGACTAAACCAAGACTAAACAAGGACTAAACCAGGACTAAACCAAGACTAAACAAGGACTAAACCAAGACTAAACAAGGACTAAACCAAGATTAAACCAAGACTGAACCAGGACTAAACCAAGACTAAACCAGGACTAAACCAGCACTAAACCAAGATTAATCCAAGACTAAACAAGGACTGAACCAGGACTAAACCACAACTAAAAAAAGATTAAACCAAGACTGAACCAGGACTGAACCAAGACTAAACCAGGACTAAACCAAGATTAAACCAAGACTGAACCAGGACTAAACCAAGACTGAACCAGGACTAAACCAAGACTAAACCAAGATTGAACCAGGACTAAACCAAGACTGAACCAGGACTAAACCAAGACTGAACCAGGACTAAACCAGGACTAAACCAAGACTAAACCAGGACTAAACCAGCACTAAACCAAGATTAATCCAAGACTAAACAAGGACTGAACCAGGACTAAACCAAGATTAAACCAAGACTGAACCAGGACTTAACTAGGACAGAATAAAGACTAAATCAGGACTGAACTTGAACCAATTGTTACATGTACTGTAGTTCTTCTGAAACCTTTAATTTGTCTAAAATATCTGTATTGTATTAACGTATTTCTGTTTAGAAAGGACAAACTCTGAATCATAGGCATATTCATTAATAATTTATTTCAAAATTAAAAACAGAATGATTAAAATGACTTTGCTTTTAAACCCATGTTACAGAAAAGTGCTACAAAACAAATGCAACTTCACAGCCAAACTGCACATCAGTACAAACCTGGAATGATTCAACACAAAATATTATGATATTATTATTGCACAGAAGTAATGAAACCAAAAGTGTTAACTGCCAAATGCATCTCTCAAGAGTTCAAATGACTTGAATCTGAACACACAATACAACTACAGTATTTACCTTGTTTTAAAATATGGATGTTTCTAATGTTAGTGCAGTGGTGGAACCTAACAAAGTAAAAGTAGAAAAATACTGTACATAAGTTTATATATATATATATATATATTATATATATATATATATATATATATATATATATATATATATATATATATATATATATATATATATATATCTGTTAGGGATGGGACAAGATCTCGTGCCACAAGATCTCACAAGACAAAATTGTCACACTATCATGCACATGCTGAAAATGAATCTTCTTGAGGAAATTGTATCTTGTTCCACCCCTAGTACCTGTACTTTACTTGAGTACATTTTAAAGAGGATGTGTTTTACTTTTACTTCACTATATTTGAGAGCAGCTTTACACTCGACTATATTTATGAACAGGAATCAAAAGTAAATGCATTTTTATTACTGTCTGCAACCTCTTAAAAGCCTGTGGGTTTATTTTTTATCAATGTCATAAGTTGAGCGAACAAAAATATACAAATAAAAACAGCTAGGGGAAAAAAAATGATTCAAATGTTTCTGTTGAACAAAACACAAATCTTTATCAAAATCACTACATTTGAAGCATTCTTAGAACTAAAAATCAGCGTCAAATACTTTTACTTTTTACTACATTTTTAAACTGTATTTTAATACATTTACTTTTTTCGTGATGTTTTTACTTAGGTGTTTTTTTTGCTCTAGTATCTGTACTTTTACTTTAATCACAAAATTGAGTATTTCTTCCACCACTGCTGATGGGGCTGCGGTGGAACTGAATCAAAATGGAACTGGAATTGAAATCGATGTAATTGTCAGTCCAATTTCAAACAATCCAATGGTCCAGCTTGGCTCTTTTTAATGGAGCTCAACAGTGACTGGCCTCCTCCTGGCTCCCAAAGCAAGTTTTTATCATAGTCTCTCCAAAAAAATGAATGCTTAAAGCTCAGGACTAATCAGCTCTGTGACTGCAAGACCCATAAATGTATTTAAAATCTGTTAAGGTATTAAAACATTTCAGAGAATCTTGTATTTTAACTGGCCTATATTATGTAAAATTGTCTCTTATGAGCTTTAAGCCATATTATAATGTTGTTCCCTCCTCAAAAACAGACCTGGAGTTGTGTTTCGTTTCATTCACACATGTTTGAGTAACTCTTTATTATTAGTCTGTCTACATCTCCAAAGCTCAAAACGCTCTGTTCTACCTTGTGATGTCATGAAATGATAGTTGTCAAGTTTTCAACAGGCAAATCCAGGGCTAAAATGATGCACTTCTTGTATTGCCACATAACATCCAAGCTGGAGCAGGGTTTTCTGTATGAGAGAAGAAATATGTAGGTTTGTGTGTTAAACAAGTGTGAATGAAACAAAACACAACTCCAGGTCTGTTTGAGATGAGGAAACTCCACTATAACAAGCAGTGTTGGGGAGTAACAGATTACATGTACTGGAGTTATGTAATCAGAGTACAAATTATGAGTAACTATATTCAGTTACAGTTACTGTTTCAGTGAGTGGTAATTGGATTACAGTTACTTTGTTGAAATAAATGGATTACACAGAGGTATTTTCCTGTTTATACATTTTGGACTATATCCCTTTTTTTTTTGTTTTTTTTTTCCCGGTAATTCCACTCATTGCCGGACACTAAACCAGGTCTAAACCAGGTCTAAACCAGGTCTAAACCAGGTCTAAAACCAGGTCCAAACCAGGTCTAAACCAGGTCTAAAACCAGTTCTAAACCCGGTATAAACAGGCCTAAACTCAGGCCCAAACCAGGTCTAAAACTAGGTCTACACTAGGTCTAAACCAGGACTAAACCAGGACTAAACCAGGACTAAAACCAGATCTAAACTATGTCTCAACCGGGATTTAACAGGACTAAACCATGCTGTGTGGACCGTGTCTCCTCCTCCTCTATCAATAATATTTTGAATATGGTTCAGTAAAATCTGGGCTTTTAATTTTCTTTTAATAGACAAAACATCTTATGTGTATGTGAAGATTTCCTCGTCTTTGCTTCTCTTCAGCAAATCAAGTAATCCAAAGTATTCAGATTACGTTACTCACTTTAAGTAATTTAATGGATTACGTTACAAACTACATTTTGGGGTATGTAATCTGTAATCTGTAGAGAAATACATTTTAAAAGTAACCACTGATAACAAAACACTGAAAAACACTGTAATAGGGGCCCTTTAAATGTGCTTTTGGAACTTTAAACAACCACATTATGGATGTTAGTCAGCATGTAGCTGGTTAACCTTCGCAGTGGTTATGAACTCCTAATAGTTGAATTTTTGGAAAGGTCTGTGGTGTGTTGTCCTAATACATCTCACAATTTGCAAGTAAGACGGTGTGCGGGATTTTTCTCTGTGTTCTTGGGCTGCTCCCTCTCCTCCGACGCACCCATCTCTAGTAACTGATGTACGATGTTCTCATTCTTTTATATCATTGGAAAAGTCTGTGGGAAAAATGAATGGAAAGTTTACTTTGGGAACTGGAGCTGACTTTAAAGTAGGCGGGACTGTTGAGCTCCACAGAGAGATTTACTGCAGAGCCAGTTGTCTGTCAGTAAAAGCCTGCAGTCAAGACTTTGGAAGGATCAATACGCAGTGAAAGTTTTCTGAATTCAATTAGTCATTTAAAATCATGCAGAACAGTATTTGTTGTCACGTGTGATTTGGCTGGTTCCTGGTTTTCAAATGACCCTGAGATCTTCACATTCTTCGAGCTGAAACTGATGTTATGTTGTAAAGAGACTTGAATTCATTCATTCATTTATCTTTCGTTTTCGGTAGTTTTGATTCACCGGTTTATCTCTGTTATTGTCTTTTTTGCAAACAAAATTCTGAGCCATTGCAAAAATATCTTCAACACTTCTGATGTGAGCTTTAGACTTCAATCTTAACTTGTCAAATTCAGATTCATATTTTGAATTCAAGTCATTTCATTTCACTTAATAATTCCTATTTCAGTGTATCTGATGTAAAGTGCACATTTGATTTTCTTGGCTCCCAAAACAGTAATCATATTCCATGAGCAGAGACACACGCCCCCTACTGGTTACAGGCGTAAACTCCCTCAATGTTTCCCCACACAGTTTAAGTTTAAAGGTGCACTGTGTAACTTTTTTGGTGGAGGGTCCATCAAATGCTTTTCTCCATGGAGATGTTACAGCTCTGTCTGGAATGTTTGACTGTATGGCATTAAACCTTTCTATCTTCATGGAGACAAACCAAAACAAGTTACAAGTTAGATCTGTGGAGAGGCGACCCCACTCACAGTCAGAATGTCTGTTTTTCTAGGTATTTTTGAGCATAAAACCATCTGTAATTGAATAAATGTCAGTTGAAGCTGTTTAATGTCACACTGTGGAACATTCCAAGCAATGACATCTCCATAGAAACAAGCAGGTGACGGACTCTCAAACAAAAAGTTACACAGTGCACTTTTGAATGAAAGATCTCCATCTGTGACCTGGAGACATTCAGCTGTAAAATACAGCACAGTGCCATGTGTAGTTTGTCAACTTAAAGGTTTCTTATCAGGTTTAAAGTGAGCAGCTGTGGGTCAGTAGTTCGAGCGTTCACCCACCAACTCAAAGATTTATGGTTCAATCCTGCTCCAGTTCAGTCATGCCATTGCGTCCTTGGGCAAGACACTGTTTCACCCATAATGCATATGTATGAAAGCGTATAGTGCGTGTGTGAGTGTTGGTGGTGGTCAGATGGTGCAGACTGGCAGCCTCCCATTTGTCAGTCTGTCTCAGGGCAGCTGTGGTTACAATAGTATCTTACCACCTGCGAGTGAAAGAACAATGCAGTTAAAGCGTCTTTGCGTGTCTAAAAAGCTCAACTTAAATTGTTATTTACATTTTAAAGAGAAACAAAATGTTCTTAAAGAATTTAGCTTCACTCAAAGTCTAGAATCTTCTGTCCTGCCATAAAATAAAACGAAGAAGAAAAAGATCGACAAACCAAATGCATTAATCTATTCCTAAAACGTTTTGTAAAATGCTCTTATATTACGCTTTTATAGACACTCAAAAACCCTTTACCATTTCTGCATTGTTTATCTACTCTCCACTCCCAAAGGCTCCTCTGACCAACACTCACACACCACATTCATACTAGGCACGTTGGGTGAAGTGTCTTGCCTAAGGACGACACAACAGAGGGGACTGAACAGGAAACGTTCAGGTTGGAGAGCAAAAACTGTGACATCTGAGCCCCATCAGACTTTAGCCCCTCCCAGGACCAGAGAAGAGAGGAGCTCGTTCCAGACCTGCGCTCCGAACTGTCCACTCAAACCTCTGGACTCTTCTCTCTCCAGAACATCTGTGGAGACTCAAACATCTGGACTCTTCACTCTCCAGAACATCTGTGGAGACTCAAACCACTGGACCTTTCTCTCTCTGCTCAGACCGTCTCATGAGCTGTAGTTTAGCTTCATCTGGACTTTGGCTTCATGAGTACAAGTAGTTTTAAATAGAAAACTGCTGTGGTGTTGTTGTGGCTTTGGCAGAAAGAGAATGAGAGACTTCTTCAGAGGAGGAAAAGAGAGGCCACAAAGAGAGAGGCAGTGAGGAGCAGAGCACACGGGTCGATTTTCACTCCATCTCCTGGAAATACAAAACCAAACATTCATCAGTTTTATATTTTTAACATCCAAAACCTAAAATCTAGAAACATCTAACATCTAAAACTCCTTCAGACATGTTTTTGACGATGGAAAAACGTTAGAACAAGGGAGACAGCTCCAAAAAGTCGATTTGCATGAATATATTTTATGCTATTAAAACTGTTACTGTTTACGATTGTAAGAGGATAATGAATCTTGTATCTTGGTTTTCCCCACGAAAACTACTTATACTATTACTACTACTTATAAATGTGTGTTCTAAACTCACCTCTGTATTCTTCAATTATGGACTCCCGAGCTGTAGATGTACCTGAAAAAAGCAAAACGCATCATTTAAATAACTACGCCACACAAGCACACGGGAGGACGGGAGGGCATCTGACACACAAGGATACGGGAGGATGGGAGGTGCATCTGGTGCTCACCTTGGTCCACAGACAGGCGCGTGGAGCTCACAGTGAGTCCGTGCAGGTCAAGGACTTTGTAGATGCCTTGGTCGGACTCGGACACAGACCTCAGGAGGAGCCGGTTCTTCTCTGAGTCCAGCCGGACCCGAGACTCCGGTCCTGATCTGTCTCTGGTCCACAGCAGCTTCCACTCAGAGCTGTTACTGCGGAGAGACCAGTACACACAATATAAACCAGGAACCACAGAGTAGTAGTAAGAAATAGTAGCAGTAATAGTAGTATTTTATACAAACCTGCCCTGGAAGAACAGGCTCATGGAGTGAGAAGTGTACAGGTCAAGAACCAGGTTTTCACCGGGACGTTTGTTCTCCACCAAGCGATGATCTGAAACAAACAGGACTGAACCAGGACTGAACCAGGACCGAACCAGGACTAAATCTGTACTTACCGAACACTAGGAGCTTGACACTGCCGATGAAGACTCCTATCCCAATATTGGTCCTGGTCTTGGACTCGGTCTGGGTCTGGTCCTGGTCGAGGATCATGTATCCGTGGTACTGTCCTCCGTCGCTCACCTGCACGTCCTGGATCAGCAGGGAGCAGTCTCCAGTCTGCAGCCCAGACTCAGACACCTGAGCTCGGTCTGAGATGTCCGGACTGGCCCAGCGCTCGGAGCCCCTGACACACACACACACACACACACACACACACACACACATAGACATACACACGCACAGTGTTTAGTGCTCCAGGCCTGATTATGCTTGTTTAGTTTGAGTAGGATAGTTTAGGTACAATATCTGCCACTTGTTTCAATAAATTAAGTTTAAGACAGTTATTGTTTGAATGTGTCCTCAGCATTTGAAGTTTGGACACAGAAGAACAAGCAACTTAGCCACCGTAAGGCCTTTGCTTCTTATTCAAGGTTTTGGTTATAATAATAATAATAATAATGTGGACTTCCTGTATTTTGCATTAGGACTGCAACTATTTCTGCAGTAACCATGACGACTATAGAAAATAACTGGAGGTGTAGTGTCCTGAAAGTCAAAGACATTTCTGTTCTAAAGCTCATTAGACACATGGTTACACAGGTCATATTTCATTTAAACAGCTAAAAGGACTTCATTTGATGGACATATTTAACTGGTAATGCTTCTTATTTAATCATTTCATTATAGCTCTGTAAAAACATGCTCATGTTACTTTAAGAACGTGAACTCGTCACACAAGGATTTATCAGAACAAATGCTTGTTACAAATGAAGAGAAAATTGAAATGAAAAACTAAACTGTCCGTGAGTCAGGGGGAAACACAGCCACAGTTCTCTGCATGTTGAAAAATGATTGGCGTCTTTCTGTGTACTCACCTCTGCTCCAGGACAGGCCCTGACGACTCTAAACACCACTGCACATGAGGCACAGACTGCGACAGGTGCGACAGGCGCTGCTGCCAGGAGCAGGGCAGGACAGTGTCTGTGCCCACCAGAGTGGAGACCACGGCAGGTGCAGGGGGAGGCGCCAGGGTGAGACCAGGGGTGGGGGGCAGGGTGGAGGAGGCTGAGGGCACAGTAAAGACACGCCACGTTCAACTGTGACTTGAACACTCCTGCTCCTGTCTTTAACTCTTTCCCCCATGAAAACGGCATTGACAATCCCCCTTGTTTCCTTAATGACGTCTTTTTTTTTTTGTTTCACTAAAGAGTTTATACTCAATTATGAAACAAAACTGCCCCAAAATCTGGATGTTGCCCAGGTGAGTCCTATAAAATATTTCAGTCTTTTTTCCAAGATGCGATGTATGACAGAATCGCTACAGAAACGAACACTGCCCGAAAAAGTAGTCAAGACGACAAATACTGAACACCCACTGACGGTGAAGAGTTTTATTATTATATTATTACATTATAATAAGCTAAATGAGTTGAATAAGTTAAATGGAAAAAATGAATTAGGTGCACACAGGTGAACAACAGGTAAAAACATTTTTATGAATACAGTACACAGAACATGCAGATATCAAATGCTGAATGTAGATTTTGCACCTGAGCAGGTAAACTCTCATATTCTGTGAGCTGTTATAAACCTGTAAATGAGTTGAATCACATTTAAACATCCAGAAATGAATAGATCAGAGTCTGAGGTTTCCAGAGACACAAATATGTCTGTGTTTCAATTAAGTTAAAATCATTTATAATCACTGGTGGAAGTCTGTTTTCTTTTATGCAGTTATGCTCTATGTTTAGCTCTAGTCATACATGTGTGGGTTGTTCCAGTAGGCGTCCAAGGGGGAAAGAGTTAAAGCAAATTTGTTCTGCAAAATGGACTTGTCAGAGTTTTTAACCATGTTATAATAGTTTGCCCTCATCCTTTACTCACTTGAGGTTGTATTTGGAGTGATTCGTGCATGTTTGACTAATCTTGAATCATAGATCATAACTATAGAGCACTAGGGGTGTGCAAAAATATTGAAATATCGATATATCGAATCGCTTAATGTGATGATACAGTATCGATATCGTGGGCTGCTGTATCGATATATCATCAAGAGTATTTTTTGGTATCTTTTACTCAATGGTTTGGTGTTTGTTTAGAGCAGTGCTTCTCATGGGGGGCGCGAGGCTCCGTCAAGGGGGCGCGTTGTCGGGAACATGCCTTTTTTATTTTTTTTACTGTCTTAGGGCGTCACACCAAAGCGTAAAAAACGCCTTGACGCCTCTATTTGGGCCTTTGCATTTGAGTTTGGACGCCCCCGACGCGAATCTTTGACGCCGTGGACGAACGGACAAAAAAACGCGTGTCCGTTGCCCTGGAAACAAGAGCCCGGTGCTCTTTTCCCGAAACAATGTCAGACCAGACTGAGAGAGTGTTTTTTATGACATAAAACATCAAAGGAGGAGATCGGGTCGACGACTGGGGCGTGTTTATATTTATACTCCACTAATGACACTGGATCAGTCCCGGTCTAGTCCTGTCGAATACCGGTTGGTCCTGGTCTAATCAAGTCCCGGTTAGTTCTGGTCTAATCACGGTCTAGTCCGGTTTAGTCCTTGTTTAGTCTCGGTCTAGTCTCGGTCTAGTCCTGGTTTGGTCCTGGTCCGGTCCTGGTGTATTTTATCGGCTCGGTGATTGTGGCGTTATATTTATTCTTCCGCTCATGTTTGTGGTTCTCGTTCTGGTTCTCGTGTCTTTCTTCCTGATAATAACGTCGCTGCGTCTCTGGATACTCGTCCCTGATTGATTGACGCGGCGCGTCTGACGCGAAAAGTTCAGCATTTTCAACTTCTTGACGCTGACGCCTTGGACGCGCGTCTTGGCCGCTGACTCCAAAACACTGAAGACGCGCTGCGCTGACGCCAGATTCGCGCCGCGCTGACGCCAGATTCGCGCCGCGCTGACGCCGAAAACGCGCCGCAAAAACGCAGGACGCTCTAGTTGCGCGTCCACATAGACTTTACATAGAAAGTGGACGCTTTGACGCTTTGGTCTGAACGGGCCTTTAGAATAAAGTGCAATTGCACTTCCACTACATTGGGGGCAGTGGCGCTCTCATTGGCAGAGTGTGCGCAGGGAGCATTCGCTCGGTGGTGTAGGAGTTTTGTTTGCATGAGCATGCGTGCTTTGCACACAGCACAGAGTTTGATATGAAGTGTAGACACGAAGTGTAGCAGACCCTCAATGACACCATGAAAAAAATATTTAACAGGGATGAGAAGACAGGCGGAGAGAGACGAAGATAAAGAGACAAACGAAAATCTCCCGAAAGCTAAGACGAGGAAATATGACGAAGCGTATGTAGCGCTTGGCTTCACTGTGACTACGTGGGAGAGACGAGGAAAGACCGGTGTGCTTACTGTGTCTAAAAATGTTGGCAGCGACAGCATGAGCCCAATAATAAGGCGTCACTTAAATACATTACACCCCAATCACTCTGATAAGCCGCTTGAGATTTTCAGCGAAAACGTCGAATATTGCCGACAATCATTTTGACTGCTACTTCAGTTTTAAGGTTGTTACGCAGAGGTGTACTTATAACTTTATGACAAATGATACTATTTTTGATGTTTTATTCGTTAGGGGGGGTGTTTGAGAAGCACTTTAGAGGAAGGAAACTTTTGACACATTTGACATTTTCACAGTTTCGATGATTAAAATGTTTGTGTTTCATATGAACTTTGCACAAAAAGTGGTGTAACAAAGACTTTTAGTATCACAGACAAGATTTAGCCTTTATTTTTATTAAACTGTATCGAATCGATTTGAAATATATCGCATTGAATCGATAGCTCACTGTATTGAGATATGTATCGTATCGGCAACTTTTTATTGATACCCAGCCCTATAGAGCACACACACACACAAGATGTCTGCTTTAAGTGCTCTATATGTCTAGTTTAGTCCAGGTTTTGTCCTGGTTTAGTCCTGATTTAATTCTGGGTTAATCAAGCCCCACCGACGCCGTGTAACTTCCAAAAAAATAGCCTAAACTAAACACATGTGTTTGTGTTTTTGGTGTTTATTGCACCGAAAAACTTTGAGAAAGATGCGTTGTGACTGTGGGCTGTGAGTCTGTTCATCTCCCACAGAACATCTGCTTCCAGTGGAGAAGTTCTGAAGTGTGGCTTTGATTTTCTATTTCCATGGAATGTCCCGAATGTTACACGGTGAAGCTTTAAGAACTAATTAGTCCTGGGTCAGTTCTGATAGATATGTCCTACTTCAGTTTTGGTTCAGTCCTGGTTTAATCTTGTTTAAGTCCTGCCTTAGTCTTGTCTTAGTCCTGGTTCAGTCCTGTTTTCGTCCAAGTTTAGTCCTGGTTCAGTCCTGTTTTAGTCCTGGTTCAGTCCTGGTTTAGTCCTGGTTCAGTTCTGTTTTAGTCCTGGTTTAGTCCTGGTTCAGTCCTGGTTCAGTCCTGGTTTAGTTCTGGTTCAGTCCTGTTTTAGTCCTGGTTCAGTCCTGGTTTAGTCCTGGTTCAGTTCTGTTTTAGTCCTGGTTTAGTCCTGGTTTAGTCCTGGTTCAGTCCCGTTTTAGTCCAAGTTCAGTCCTGGTTTAGTCCTGGTTCAGTCCTGTTTTAGTCCTGGTTTAGACCGGGTTTAGTCCTGGCTTAGTCCTGTTTTAGTCCTGGTTCAGTCCTGGTTTAGTCCTGGTTCAGTTCTGATTTAGTCCTGTTTTAGTCCTGGTTTAGACCTGGTATAGTCCTGGTTCAGTCCTGGTTTAGTCCTGGTTCAGTCCTGGTTCAGTCCTGACACAGTACAGTCTTTACAAATGTACAAAATCAAAATAGCAAATAACATAAGTAATAAATATTTTCACAAACAGGATTTAAACTCACCGGATCGATCAATCACAGCGAGCAGCAGCAGAACCCTGAAAAACACCACACAGTCATGAACACAGTCTGAGGAGAGGAGGGGAACTAAAGTTACAGGAACATTCTTCAAAATAATATTAATCAAGCAGAAATACAAAGTAGTGGTCCAAAAAAGGATTCTTCTAAGAGTGAAGAAGTATTTAGGAAAAGTAGTACTCAGGTAAAAGTAACTAGTCAGGACGTAACATCTGATTTATAATTTAAAGTGAACGTAATGTGAAGGACAAAACATGAAATCTGTCAAAAATCTGTTATTTTCAAAGGACAGAAACAAAAACGAGACAAACTAAATCAGATCTGAAGCGCTGCACGAGACATAAATGTCCAAATCATTTCAGATTGTCACGTACGAGTATTGTTACTTCAATCAAAAATATTCAAGTAGGCATAAAAGTAGCTGCAAGAAAAGTACTCTGAAAAGCAGTGTTGGGGAGTAACAGATTACATGTATCAGAGTTACGTAATCAAAGTACAAATTATGAGTAACTGTATTCAGTTACAGTTATTGTTTCAGTGAGATTACAGTTACTTTGTTGAAATAAATGGATTACACAGCGGGCAATATCCCCCTTTTTTTTTTTCTTTTTTTTTTTTTTTTCCAGTAATTCCACTCATTGCCGGACACTAAACCAGGTCTAAACCAGGTCCAATCCAGGTCTAAATCAGGACTAAACCAGGTATAAACCATTACTAAACCAGGACTAAACCAGGTCTAAACCAGGTCTAAACCAGGTCTAAACCAGGTCTAAACCAGGTCTAAACCAGGTCTAAACCAGGACTAAACCAGGTCCAAACCAGGTCTAAAACCAGGTCCAAACCAGGTCTAAATCAGGACTAAACCAGGTCTAAACCGGGACTAAACCAGGTCTAAACCAGGTCTAAACCAGGTCTAAACCAGGACTAAACCAGGTCTAAAACATGATTTAACTGGACTAAACCATGCTGCTTGGACGCGTCTCCTCGTCTTCTATCAATAATATTTTTAATTTGGTTAAATAAAGTCTGGGCTTTTTTATTTTCTTATAGCAGACAAAACATCTAATGTTACAATGTCCGAGTCTTTGCTTCTCTACAGCAAATCAAGTAATCCAAAGTATTCAGATTACATTACTCACTTTAAGTAATTTAATGGATTCCGTTACAAACTACATTTCGGGGTATGTAATCTGTAATCTGTAGGGGATTACATTTTAAAAGTAACCTTCCCAACACTGCTGAAAAGTACTATTTCCCAGTTTAGAGCTTTGGGTGCTATGCATAATGTGGCCACTAGATGTCGCGTTTTTCCTCCAGCCACAGGTGCAACGGGAAGCCTGTCGTAAATTAATGTGATTTCTATTGTTCTGTGTCAGATTCCCTCCCACCCTCCAGTGCTCGTGTCAGATGCCCTCCCATCCTCCTGTTCTTGGGTTCCAGGAAAGGTTTCCTTCCTGATTTGAAGGCTTTGGCAGGGCTCGTGTTGTAACAGTAAGAGAGTACAAATCAGAATCTTATGAAGACTTGAGTAAAGATTATGTTTTCAGTTTTTAAAGATAACGAGATACGAACAACTGCCTTCAAAATCAGGAGGAATCAGTGGTATAAATGCAGGTAAAGTGTTTTCTGCTGATGTTGTGGTGTGTCAGATGAATCCCAGATGCTGTGATGAGAAACACACCAGGGGAATGGAGTTTGTAAACAGAAATGATTGGGGGGAGTGTTAATTTGACTTTTTCAAACCTAAATGAATAAGGCTAAAGACATTACAACGACAGATATCCCCATCTTTGTGAGAGAGTTTCTATTTTCTGATTTTATTAAAGCCCTGACCGTCTGTGCGTCAGTTGTTTGTGCTGAAACGAAACTCTGCGGTGCATTCAGTCAGAACCGGACCTGAGTGTAGTAGTAGTGTATGAAAATGTGGCTTTTTTTAATAAAATAAAATAATAATAATAATAATAATAATAATAAGTTTGCGATTTTTTTTATATTTTACTTTATTTTATTTTATTTATTAATTTATGTATTTTGCGTTGATTGGATAAAATAAAAACATTGTGCACAATCTTTCAGTGTTCTTTGTTACGAATTAGCAATTATTATCTGTTGCTGTTTAATTTATTTCTCTCTGCATTATATATTTTTTGTTTATTTACAATTCATCTGTCAGGTTAAAAAAAAAAAAAAAAAAAAAAAAAAAAAAGTAAATAAAAAAAAAATAATAATAATAATAAATCTCTCTGCAGTTTATATTTTTAGTTTATTTACAATTCATCTGTCAGGTTAAGAAAAAAGAAATAGTGACCAAAATGAATTATTTAGGAAAACACATCCATTTCTTTACATTCCTTTCACTGAATATGTTCGAACTTACCAGGATCGTGCAGTGGTCGCCATGGAGACGCCTGGTCTAGCTGGTTCGGGTCTGGTCCAGGTTCAGTCCAGGTCTGGCTCGGGTCTCGGGTCCGGTCTGGTTTGATCTGATGCTGAAGTCTATAAAACCCCGTGCGGGCGTAAACAAACCACGAGCGCACCGCCAAAGTTTCGATTTCTACTCATCCTGTCAAATTAAAACCACCAGCCTATTCTTATAAAAATAAATACACCTTTTTAACTATAATACACGCATATAACGTTCACTAATACGCACATAGGCTTATACCTAGATAATTTAAGGACATTTTATTTATTTTTTTCATTTTTTCTTAAATCCAAATCCATTTCGCGCGCTCTTGTTTTGACAGTTTCCGGTTTGTCGCGGTCGTTAACTTTACATTTCCCCAAAAACGAAACTTCAGCCCCGCCCCGTTACCGAGTGGTTTTGAGTTCAGGTTAAAACGAAACTTAAGTGCAATTTCTAACTAAATAACACAACTTTTCACACTTAACGCCCCTCGTCCACTTTTGCCCAAAACTCAAGACACAAAAGCACAGAGTGAGTCATTTAGCAGAGACCGAGCAAAAGAGACACATGGAACAAGAGTGGATTCTGCTTTTGATTTGTAAGTTATCTGTTTATGAGAGGAGGCAGAGGAGAGGGTCAGAGGATGCAGAGGAGCAGAGGAGAGGGTCAGAGGAGCAGAGGAGAGGGTCAGAGGATGCAGAGGAGCAGAGGAGAGGGTCAGAGGAGCAGAGGAGAGGGTCAGAGGATGCAGAGGAGCAGAGGAGAGGTCAGAAGATGCAGAGGAGAGGGTCAGAGGAGAGAGTCAGAGGATGCAGAGGAGAGGGGCAGAGGATGCAGAGGAGAGGGTCAGAGGAATTGTTGGTTATCTGTTTATGAGAGGATGCAGAGGAGAGGGGCAGAGGAGAGGGGCAGAGGATTTGTAAGTTATCTGTTTATGAGAGGATGCAGAAGAGAGGGTCAGAGGATGCAGAGGAGAGCAGAGGATGCAGAGGAGAGGGTCAGAGGATGCAGAGGAGAGGGGCAGAGGATTTGTAAGTTATCTGTTTATGAGAGGATGCAGAAGAGAGGGTCAGAGGATGCAGAGGAGCAGAGGAGAGGGGCAGAGGATGCAGAGGAGAGGGTCAGAGGATGCAGAGGAGAGGGTCAGAGGATGCAGAGGAGAGGGGTTAGATGGAGCAGAGGATAAAGACGAGAGGGTCAGAGGATGAAGAGGAGAGGATCCGATGAAGCAGAGGACAGAATAACCCTCTTTCTCTCTTCCTGTCCCTCTGTCTTGTCAGGCGTGGCGTTCGGGGGGCGCTCGTCCGCCTGTCCTCCTCAGAGCCTCGTGGTGCGTTCGGGGTCTGACGTGTCTCTGAGCTGTAACCTGAGCTCCAGCGAGTACCAGACCTGGTTCAGACTCGACTCGGACCGGATCCTGCCCCTGTTCAGTGTGAGACCGGCCAGACTCGGAGAACAGGACGTGAGAGAGGACCACCACACACACAGGTAAAACAGCCCACACTCCACACGGTACAGAGGAGGGACACTCCACACGGTACAGAGGAGGGACACTCCACACGGTACAGAGGAGGACCACTCCACACGGTACAGAGGAGGGACACTCCACACGGTACAGAGGAGGAACACTCCACACGGTACAGAGGAGGGACACTCCACACGGTACAGAGGAGGGACACTCCATGCACAGTACAGAGGGGGGACAGGGGTACAGAGGAGGGACAGTGCATATATTGTACAGAGGAGGGAAAGTCAAAGATGGTGAGGTCAGAGTTGCTAGGAAACAGACACAGAGGAAGACCAAAGAGGAGATTTATAAATGAGAGGGACACAGGAGGAAAGGGTCAGAGGATGCAGAGAAGGAGGACAGAGGATGCAGAGGGTCAGAGGATGCAGAAGAGGGGGTCAGAGGAACAAAGGGTCAGAGGATGCAGAGAAGGAGGTCAGAGGATGCAGAGGAGAAGGTCAGAGGATGCAGAGGGTCAAAGGATGTCTCTGTTACAGGGCTGTGGGGTTAGAGGATGCAGAGGATCAGAGAATACAGAAGAGGGGGTCAGAGGAACAAAGGGTCAGAGGATGCAGAGTGTCAGAGGATGGAGAGGAGAAGGTCAGAGGATGCAGAGGAGAAGGTCAGAGGATACAGAGGGTCAGAGGATGGAGAGGAGAAGGTCAGAGGATACAGAGGGTCAGAGGATGTCTCTGTTACAGGGCTGTGGGGTCAGAGGATGTCTGTGTTGCAGGGCTGTGGGGTCAGAGGATGTCTGTGTTGCAGGGCTGTGGGGTCAGAGGATGTCTCTGTTACAGGGCTGTGGGGTTAGAGGATGTCTGTGTTGCAGGGCTGTGGGGTCAGAGGATGTCTGTGTTGCAGGGCTGTGGGGTCAGAGGGTCAGAGGATGTCTCTGTTACAGGGCTGTGGGGTTAGAGGATGTCTGTGTTGCAGGGCTGTGGGGTCAGAGGATGTCTGTGTTACAGGGCTGTGGGGTCAGAGGATGTCTGTGTTGCAGGGCTGTGGGGTCAGAGGGGAACCTGGAGGTCGGGGTCAGTCTGGAGATCAGGTCTGTGACTCAGGACGACTCTGGTGTTTACATCTGCAGCAGCAAAGACCAAGGACAGATACGCTACAATACTGCAGTACACCTCACAGTAACAGGTACTACTACTACTAATACTAATACTAATACTAATACTAATACTGCTACTACTACTACTGCTGCTACAACAACAACAACTACTACTACTACTACTACAACTACTACTAATGCTACTACTACTACTACTACTGCTACAACTACAGCTTCTACTACTATTATACTGCGACACACTATTACGAGTACTACTGCATGTACTACTGTTCTTGTGGTAGTAATACTCATTGTCTTGGTCTGACTGCAGTGTTTTGTGTGTATAGATCCAGGTGATAGTCCGCTCCCGCCCCACAGTGAGTCCTGCTGGGATCCCGGGTTCTGTCTACTTCCTGGAGTGATCTCTGCGGCTCTGCTGTTTACCACACTCCTCCTCTGTTACTGCAAAGGTATTTATTCAAGTCCAAGACTACAGCCTCACTTTACCTTTAGCTCAGCAGGAACACGAATTTCTCGAGCTGAAATGATGTAAACGGTTCTAGTGAAGAGGGAAGGTGTGTGGAGTGGTTTCTGTTTGAGAGAAACAAAACACAACTTCAGTTTTGTTTGTGACAAGGAAACAACATTAGAACAGAGACGAGAAGAAAGACTAATACAAGCCTTTAATGTGATAATTTTTCCAAAAGACGAGGGGGAAAATGAAAAATAAGATTACAAAAAAAAAAGACAATTTTCTTCATTATTTGTCTCCAACACCAAAATGAAAAAATTGAAAACTTTTATTTAATTAAATTGTATATTATTATTATTATTATTATTATTATTATTATTATTATTATTAACAATAATAATAATAATAATAATAATAATAATAATAATAATAATATAATTAATTAATTAATTAATTTTTTATTTTTTTTTCAGTTTTAAATTTTGTGTTTAAATAAATAATGGACAAAACAGATAATGGATTAAACCAGGTCTAAACCCGAACTAAACCAGGTCTAAACCTGGACTAAACCAGGTCTAAACCCGGACTAAACCAGGTCTAAACCAGTTCTAAACCAGGACTAAACCAGTCCCAGTCCTGGTCTCAGTCCAAGTCTGGTCCCCGTCTTAGTCCCGGTTTGGTCCCGACACTCAGCCTTGGTTCAGTCCTTGTTTAGTCCTGGTTCAGTCTTGGTTCAGTCCTGGTTTAGTACCGGTTTAGACCTGGTTCAGTCTTGGTTCAGTCCTGGTTTAGTACCGGTTTAGACCTGGTTCAGTCCTGGTTTAGTCCTGGTTCAGTCCAGCGTCGCAGTGTAAGTCTCATAAACTGGAAATATTCGTTATCTGTTTTTTTTTCCTCCATTATTCATTTAAACACAAAATTGAAAACTGAAAAAACTAATCGTTATCTGTTTTTTGATTTTGGTTTTGGAGAGAAATAATGAAGACGATCATTTTTTTTTTTTTTTTTTTGTTTCTTATTTTTGGTTGTATTTTGAAAAACAAATGAGTGAATTATACACAGATTCTGGTGGCCACTGTTCCACTGACCAGGAGGTGGCAGTGTAGCGCGCAGCCTAAAACATGACATTTGTTTAATGTAGTAGAAATAAAAGTCTCTCACAGATCTTTAGTTTATTCACTCAATCATCAAATGTGACCTCAAACAAAAGATCAGGTCGTTCACAGGGTTTAGAGCCAAAACTCTGTTTGTATTTACAGAAGCTCTTCACAGATCCAGAGCTGAGAATCACAGTGCCAGTGAAACAAACAAACAAAAAACTAAATTCACTTCTGAAATAAAACTTCACAAATAAAAATGTCAAAACGAAACACAAAAGTATTTTAACAGCAGACACTACAGGCAAAACTCCTGTTTCCCCATGTTTAGTTTTTTGTTCTCTTAGCGTATGAGACAGAATCTTCACTCTGGACCTGAAGATGTTTTAATATTTAACATGATCAACCTGCCTGCAGAGTTATGGCACATTGTAACGTAAAGTCTGTTTCTCAAATACGTTTCTCCTTCATAGGGACAAAAGGATCAGCTCTTAAAGCAGCACCGACACACACCAAACGTTACATTGTGCTGAACAAAATTATCATAAAATATACAATCAGATCTCAAATACTACGTAAGATATCCAAAGTCCCTCTGTAGGTTTTTAACATCTAACATGAGCACAATCAAATGCATTCTTTTTGATATAAAAACATCATGTGATGAAAAACTTAGAATCCATTTATGTGAGTAAACTCCAGCAGATGTTTCAAGTTAAGATCTCTAAATGTAAGATTTCTTCTTTTTCACCTGCAGTGTGTCATCTTATTAAATCTAACCCACACCAAAGATAAACTCTTTTTAAACAGTCCACAGCAGCTCCACGTGCACCACAGGCCACGCCTCAGGACTCGAAAGGACAGTGAAAGCTTGTGTCATGTTTTGGCAGTGGCTCTGTTTCATCAGAGACTTACATTAAACTCATTTTTGTCCAAACCCCTCTGACACTTTGATAGGACGTGCTAATATCCTGTCTATATCCATGTCATTGTCGATGTAATTCATCTTCCAGAACTTTAAAGAGTTTTAAAGAGGAGGGTGTGTGACTTCTCTGGGACATTAACTGTAACATACCATGTCACCAATCACCATGTTACCTTTAATTATTGTGAAAATGCTGCCTTTTCTGAAAACAGCATATTCACATTGGGGATGGGCATGATTAGTTGATTAATCGATAATTGATCATTAAGAATTTCATCGATTATGTTCATTTTAATTGACAAACCGAATGTAGGTTGCTGTGCGTAGCGTGACTAAACAGGGGTCTGTACATGTGTCTCTGCATCAGAAGGAGCGAGACACAAACAGTCGGTCAGTCTGCAACGTGCCAAAGTGCAAATGTGTATTTAACGATGATTTGTACAAGAAATTCCACACTTTCCGTGCAGGTCGGGACAAGTGTGAGTCCATGTGCAGAGTGTATAAAGCAGCACATATGTTTCGGTGTCCAGGTGAGAGTCGCTCAATGAGGATGACAAGTCCCCACCTCCCTCCTCCGTACGGTGTCCTGGTTTTGACAAACGCAAATATGGTCACACTAACCTGTATTCACCTGAATCATGTCTTTTAGTCCGATAGAAGTTGAACCGCATCAGCACAAGAGCTGTATTTTTTTATCTTTGCTTAGTTTATGCAAATTTGCGATGCGGTTTTAAGTTTTGTTTCTGTGAAAGTTGCGCAAAACTGAATTAAACACATTCTAATGTCAAACAGCTGATGTGGCTCTAGAGTGGTTACGGTTTATATGTCGTAAAGTTGAATTTATTTATGCAGATTAGTAGTGCAGATAGTAATAATAATGATGATCATTTTAATATAAAAACGTTAATGATTAATGGTTAATTCTTCCGACGATCGATTAAGAAAATTTCATCGAATGCCCATCCCTAATTCACTCATTCATTTTGTCTTCTTATGTTCTCTAAAATCTTGGGTTGTTTTTTAAAGACAATACAGTCAAGTGTATTTATCTTGTCGACGTGTTTCTGCTGCTGCATCTTCACAACTGTCCCCGGTCTTGGTGGTGACGTGTTGTATATCAGCTCTAGTTTTTTCCTGTAGGTGTGGTCAGTCTGATGAACCTGGCAGGTCGCTCAGACTGACCACGCCTCCTGTCGCCCGGTGCTCTGTGGAGGAGGGTGTCCAGGTGAGTGACACGTGGGGTTCACTTTTCTGAAGATGCAGCAGCAGCAGCAGAAACATGTCCACAAGATAAATACACTTGACTGTATTGTCTTTAAAAAACAACCCAACAAGTTAAAAAGACGTATTAACATGTTTTATAAGTTTGACTTTACTTTTTGACATCCCTTTGCTCTCTGTGCTAACTCACTCCCCCGTCAGAGCTCTCACAACACAATCAGCCTGCATCCCGCTAATGAAAGTACTGCACATCTCATCAGGTTTGTTGTGAATTGTTTTGTATTTTGTTTTGAATTGTCGTACGGGAGCATGGGTGACCTCGGTCGTACAGAATCTTAAAGAATCTAACCATAATAAAGGGTTTAGAAGTGATTCATGTGTGTTTGGGCAAATTCCATCTCTGACATGATAATTCTCCGTAAATATACAAAAGCAAGAAAACAATACAGTACAGCTTTACCAACCTGATGTGATGTGCAGGAGTTTCATTAGTGGGATGCACGCTGTTTGTGTTGTGATAGAGTTCTGAAAGGGGAGTGACTTAGCATGAGGAGGTGAATATAGCATTTTTAAAACAATAAAATGTAACATGGTGATCTAAATATGTATAAAAGCCCATAGAAGTAAAATACCTCTTCTTTAAATCAAAATGTCAAAAATAATACTTTTTTTTTTTTTAGTTTAATCAATAATTTACACTTTATTAATAAAAATTCTATATTTAGAAGCCTCCACTCAAGATATTTAAACTTTTACTTAGCTGATAATCAATTTAAAATACCTGAATTAGAAATACCGTATTTTTCAGACTATAAGTCGCACCAGCCAAAAAATGCATAATGAAGAAAAAATATAAAAGTCGCACCGAACTATAAGTCGCACTTTTTGGGGGAAATTTATTTTATAAATTCAGGGACCAGGAACTGACATTTCATCTTGAAAGTCAAGTTCTAGTGATAACAATAGAACAGAGAACAACAGACTGAACAGGCGTCTGGTCTGTTAACATAACATATTAACAATTATTCAGATAATTATAGCATAAACAACAGAACATAAGTTTACCAAACTCTCCACATCTCACTCCATATCACTAAATCCATTGAATCTACTGAATTCTTCCTCCTCGGTGTCACTTCTGAGCAACTCCGCGCAACTTCGGTTTTCACTGAAGTCCAGATTTGCTGCACCCGCCCGGTCCCCATGAAGTTGTGTTCTCCATCCCCGCTTTCTCCCAGTCCCTCACAAGTTTCTCACTCACTCCAAACTTTCTTTCTGCTGCTCGATTACCGTTTTCAGCTGCATATTTCACTACTTTCAGCAGGACAGCGGCTTTTTCTGCAGGAGACATGTGCAGAAAACTGACACAGAAGCCTAGAGCCTCTCGTGTCTGTCAGTATGAAAATTGTATCTATAAATCGAACTGGAGTGTTGGGAGTAACAGATTACATGTACTAGAGTTACGCAATCAGAGTACAAATTATGAGTAACTGTATTCAGTTACAGTTACTGTTTCAGTTAGTGGTAATTGGATTACAGTTACTTTGTTGAAACAAATGGATTACCCTGCGGTATTTTCCTATTTTCACATTATTTATTTATTTATTTTATTTTATTTTATTTTTTTCGGTAATTCCACTCATTGCTGGAAACTAAACCAGGTCTAAACCAGGACTAAAACCAGGTCTAAGCTAGATCTAAACCAGGACTAAAACAGGATTTAACAGGACTAAATCATGCTGCGCGGACGTGTCTCCTCGTCTTCTATCAGTAATATCTTTAATACTGTTAAGTATCCTCGTCTTTGTTTCTCTACAGCAAATCAAGTAATCCAAAGTATTCAGATTACGTTACTCACTTTAAGTAATTTAATGGATTACGTTACAAACTACATTTTTTTGGGTATGTAATCTGTAATCTGTAGGGGAGTACATTTTAAAAGTAACCTTCCCAACACTGAGTATAAGTCGAAGGAAACACCCAAACCATGAAAAAAAGTGTGACTCATAGTCCGAAAAATACAGTAATCATCTGAATAACGATCAGTCAACGAATGGAACTTAATCACTTACTAAACCACCGAGGCAGTTCTAATCCCATCACCATGACTATTATTACTAATCGATTTCAATATATGATCTGGAACGATATATTTTTAGCTCAGTATTTATCGCATGAATATTTTCTTTGCAATAATTTGGAGATTTTTTTTATATTTTTGTTGTAATATGATATGATTTGACTTGATTATGTATGGCTAATTATTCTGATATTTATTTGATGATGATTTGTGTCCATGGTATAAAGTCGTTTTTATATTGTGGGTCTAAAACGTTACAGAGACAGACCTAACAACAGCCCAGTCTTGAGTCTGGGTCGTTCTCAGGCCTCCTTGAGCAGCAGGCCGTACGGTCGCACTGACTCCTGGACTAAAGCCCTGGTCTGGATTTGGCTGTGGTCCTGGGGCACGTAGACCACCCAGACCCGGTCCCTCTCGCAAACCTTCCTCCTGCTCGGGCTGATCCGGTTCTGGAGCAGGACTTTGTAGGTCTTTCCATTGCTGCTGGACTTGAAGGTCTTGCAGTGCTTTTCGGCGAGGAGCACGTCCGGAGTGGAGTAGATCCCTCTGCCAAAATCGGTGGTGTCCATCAGAGATTGAGCTGCCTCGTCCAGGAGCCCGCCTTCCTCCTTGCTCCCTGCACACACAGACCAAGAATCTAACCCACGACCTCCTAAAGCGAGATCCAGAATCTAACCCAGGAGACAGAATAAGCACTCTTTGGTAAAGATTCATTCTGTCCTCAGTTGTAAACTTAGATCATGTTTTTGTCATGTTTCACCTCCTCTATCTTCCTCACAAGCGTCACATGATGGTCTAGTGTCTTGTGGGCTGCTTGACTTGATTTTGTCTGATAGTGCGCCCCCTACACCTTTAGGACTGCACCCACGTGTGTGTGAAGGTGCACCTCGTCCTTTGACCCTTGTCACGGTTCATGCTCATTGGACCTCCTCGTCTGCAGATGTCCAGGGCCTCTCTGACCTGATGTTAGGTGCGTGGATGACCCATTGTTCTGGTCCATGATACGCTTTTGTTTTTTCTAAGTTTATAATAAAGCTCAACTGCATAATTTGGGGGAAATAATCGGTGCAAAAATATCGGCAGAGCTCATTGGCCATTGGTTGCTCTGGATTCCAAACAACTGGCATCAGCACCACGAGAACCCATATCAGTCAATCTCTAGTTTAAATCTCCTCAAAAATTTTCTAAAATGCATCTGATTTTTGTAAGACATTAGTTTAGCTGTTTGTATAAATTGTAGGGGTGTAACGGTACAAAAGTCACGATACGGTACATACCTTCATTTCATGTTTGGTACAGTTTGGAAACAAAATGCAAAACCTTTTATTTGTTTTTTTACTTGTGTGTTTGTTAAACCAAGTTGTTTTAACATTATACAAATGGGAAAATTAAATAAATGAAAAGTGCTGTTGGGATGTAACAATAACCAAAATATTGTGATATCATATCGTCAAAGTTCTCACAATAATATCGTGGAGCATCACAATATATCAAATTACAAGTTTCTTTGCTTAAATGAAAAGTTATGGTGCAGTAATAGCTAAAAAAAGACAGAGGGAACTACATAGACCATGATGCTTTGCTCCATTTCAGTGCAGACTAAAGGAAGAAATAACAGTTCTAACACTTTTAAGTCAGTTCTTTAGATTAAGTCTTGTCAAGGCATTTTAAGAGGAACAAGTAGCACATTCAAACTTTGTTAGCCTCCACAAAATATCACAATAAATATTGTGCCATGAGGTTCATATCGTGACAATATCGTATTGTGAGACTTGGATATAGTTACACCCCTACTAATAAGTTCAATAAAATATTCTCAAATAAGCAACAAATGTAGGAAATATTAAAAATTATGCTCCTTTATAATTTAAAATGACCAGACTTCCCTGTTTAACCAGAACACTCCCAGTTTTCAACCTTGTGTCCTCGGCCCAGCAGATTAATTTATTTATAGGGGTGTCAATCAAAATAGGGGCATTAATTGCGCTTTATTAATTACAGTCATATTTAGCACGTTATGTTTTTAATCGCATTAATCTAATTTTTTATCTCTAACTTTACTGTTCCCGTTCGTGAGTTGCCTTATTATAAAATCTGTTTTTATGTGTTGTTGGGACAACAACACATTGCTCCCGCAAAGTTGAACCGTATCAGCACACAAGAGCGAATTTTTTTTCTTTTTTCTGCCTAGTTTATGCAAATGAGCCATGCGGTTTTAAGTTTTTGTTTCTGTGAGACTTGCACAAAGCTGCATTAAACACATTATAATGTCAAACGGGCTGATGTGGCTCTAGAGTCGATATGTTTATATGTTGTAAAGTTGAGTTTATTTATGCAGATTAGTAACAGTAATAATAATGATGATACATTCTCATTTATTTGTATTTTCTAATTATTTAGAGTTTGACAAAAGAACACAGCGGAATATAAGTGACTGCATCTGTTAAAATTTATTAAACAATAAATGACTTTACAATGTCACATTGTTACATATCAGTCTTTTGATCTGCCACAATAATGTAATAATGAATTTAAATGAAAATACCTCAAGTTGAGGGTTTTCTCAGCAATTATTAGGTGAGATAAAAAAATTGATTAAATTAATTACAGATCATAATGAATTAATCTCTATTTTTTTTTTTTTTATCTCTTGACAGCACAATTAATTAATTAATTTATTTATTTATATTTATTTATTTATTTTATTTGTGCTTTTGTCTCTTGCAGTGGTCAGATATGGCTGATTTCAGATCAGACAGTAGGCGTCGTAAACTTTGACAAAACCGAGTAAAGCAGCCCACACGTCACTACCCCGTCATGTGACACGAGTGAGGAACATACAGGGAGGGAAACATGTAGAAAAGCTGAACAAACTTCTCTTGCGTGACATAAAAGAATGACTCATTGTAAAGATAACCCGTCTGCCACAGCGGCACAGGGAGAACATGCAGTCTCTTACCCTTCCTGAGTGTGAGGATGAGGGAGCCGTCCATGTGCAGGCCCTGGTAGGACACGGGCCAGGCCTGGGAGCCGGTGCCCAGCCAAACGTCAGAGCCGTCGTCATATTTCCCCGAGACGTTCAGAGCCACGCGCCGCCAGCCGCACGGGCGGAAGTACGGCTCATCACCCCGCACGAAACGCCGCTCTCCATCCTGAGGGTCACAGAGGAGGCAGAGTATCGTTAGGAAGTTGCAGATACAATACAAACCTCGATACATACACACCTCGATACACACACACTTCGATACACACCTCGATACATCACACCTCGATACAAACCTCGATACATACACACCTCGATACAAACCTCGATACATACACACACACCTCGACCTCGATACACACACCTCGATACATACATCACACCTCGATACATACACACCTCGATACAACACCTCGATACATACACACACCTCGATACACACACCTCGATATCACACACACCTCGATACATCACACCTCGATACAAACCTCGATACATACACACCTCGATACACCTCGATACATCACACCTCGATACAAACCTCGATACATACACATCTCGATACAAACCTCGATACATACACATCTCGATACACACACACTTCGATACACACCTCGATACACACACACCTCGATACACTCGATACATCACACCTCGATACAAACCTCGATACCTCGATACACACACCTCGATACAAACCTCGATACATACACACCTCGATACACACACACTTCGATACACACCTCGATACATACACACCTCGATACATACACACCTCGATACAAACCTCGATACACACGATACACACCTCGATACATACACACCTCGATACAAACCTCGATACACACACACCTCGATACATACACACCTCGATACACACACACTTCGATACACACCTCGATACATACACATCTCGATACATACACACCTCGATACAAACCTCGATACACACACACCTGGATACACACACACCTCGATACAAACCTCGATACACACACACCTGGATACATACACACCTCGATACACACCTCGATACACACAAACCTCGATACATACAAACCTCGATACAAACCTCGATACATACACACACCTCGATATATACACACCTCGATACAAACCTCGATACATACACACCTCGATACAAACCTCGATACATACACATCTTGATACACACACACCTCGATACAAACCTCGATACACACACACCTGGATACATACACACCTCGATACAAACCTCGATACATACACACCTCGATATATACACACCTCGATACATACACACCTCGATACACACACCTTGATACACACACACCTCGATACACACACACCTCGATACACACACACCTCGATACATACACACCTCGATACACACCTTGATACACACACACCTCGATACACACACACCTCGATACACACACACCTCGATACATACACACCTCGATACACACAAACCTCGATACACACAAACCTCGATACACACAAACCTCGATACACACAAACCTCGATACATACACACTTCGATACACACAAACCTCGATACACACAAACCTCGATACACACAAACCTCGATACACACAAACCTCGATACACACAAACCTCGATACATACACACTTCGATACACACAAACCTCGATACATACACACTTCGATACACACAAACCTCGATACACACAAACCTCGATACACACAAACCTCGATACATACACACTTCGATACACACACACCTCGATACACACAAACCTCGATACACAGGCCACGATAAGATACATATCTCAATACAGTGCACTTTCCATTTGATGCGATATATTTCAAATCAATTCAATACGGTTCAATAAAAACTAAATAATGGCTGTGATACTCAAAGTCTTTGTGAAACTACTTCCTGTGCAAAGTGAAGATGAAACATGCCTATTTTTAAACAACAAAGCTGTAGCAGTAAGAAAATCATTTTGTAAAATAAATTTAAAAAAAATACTCGATATATCGATACAGCAGCCCATGATATTGATATTATATCATCACATTAAATGATAGGATATTTAGATATTTTTGCACATTCCTATTGGGGAGGGTCAGAAAGGGTCAGACTGAATAGAGGAAGGTCAGAAAAGGATCAGATTGAACAGAGAGGGTCAGAGAGGAACAGACTGAACACAGAGGGTCAGAGAGTGACAGAAAGGGTCAGACTGAGAGAGAGAGGGTCAGAGAGGAACAGATTGAACACAGAGGGTCAGAGAGCGACAGAAAGGGTCAGACTGAGACAGAAAGGGTCAGAAAAGGTCAGACTGAGACAGAAAGGGTCAGACTGAAACAGAGGGACAAAAAGGGTTAGACTGAGACAGAGAGGGTCAGAAAGGGTCAGACTGAGACAGAGAGGAACAGACTGAACACAGGGGGTCAGAGAGTGACAGAAAGGGTCAGACTGAGAGAGAGAGGGTCAGAAAGGAACAGATTGAACACAGAGGGTCAGAGAGCGACAGAAAAGGTCAGACTGAACAGAGAGGGTCACAGAGGGTCAGAAAGGGTCAGAGTGAAAGCGCTGTGCAGGAGTCTGTGTGTCCAGGCTACATTACAGGACAGAGTGGAGTACAGGAGTGTGGTAAGAGCCGGGGGAGGGAAAGTATCAAAGTACAAAAGTTAAAGTACTGTGCTTAACTACGATAATTACTTATCTGTACTTTACTTAAAGCAGACCCACTGTGCCTTTGTGTGCTCTGTACTTATAATCTATGACACTTGTGGATCGTTATGTTATAACCTGGACATTTTAATTTGCAATATTGATCTAAAATGATGTAATACAAGACAGAAGTAACACTTGGAATTGGTTAAGAGTTACTCAAACATGTGTGAATGAAACAAAACACAACTCCGGGTTTGTTTTTGAGGAGGTAACAACATTGTAACATGACTTAAAGCTCACAAGAGTCTGTTTCGTGTAATATAAAACCTTCAGAATGATGGAGTTGTAGTGGAAGTAGTAGTATTTTCATTCCACAAAGTAGTAGCCTAGTAATAGTCCTATAAATACTTCTTCTCCTCCTTTAAGCCTGAGCAGTGGTGCCAAGAGGAAATGATTCAGCAGGACTTGAACAGATCTGTGAAAGTGAAACTAGAAACACTAAATCATGTTCTAATGCTGATACCGCCTCAAAAAACAGACCTGGACTTGTGTTTTGTTTCATTCAGACATTTTTTGACTTTATTAATAATAAATAGCGTCTGTTTACATCTCCAAAGCTGAAATGCTCTGTTGCACCTTGTGATGTCATGAAGCGGTTGTTTTGAAGTTAAGAGCTACATTTTAACTGTGTTCAGTGCAGACTGGCAATTCCAACGCTGAAATCATCCAAATGAATCTAGTGAAGGTTTAAAAACACAGTGGAGCACGTCCTGTACTATCACATGGAAAAGTGTAAAGTGTTTTCTGTTTGAGAGAATGACTTTTTGTGAATGCAACAAAACCAAACTCCAGGTCTGTTTGTGATGAGGAAACTACAAAAAACATATCAGAAAATAATACGTAATACAGGCTTTTTAAACACGGAATATGGAAGTTACACTGACACGAGAGGACACGTTTGAGCGAAAAGTCACGTTCTCCTTCCGTACTTTAACACTGGTAGAGGAGGATTAAGTATTTGTTAAACTAGGACTGGTACAATACTAACAGCTGAATTGGTTTGATGTTGGATACTGGATATTTGACACATTCAAAGACACTCATTTAACTTGTGATATATGACACCGATTCTTTTCAAACAACCTGTGACGTCCTCATAATCATCCTGCAGTGTTGGGAAGGTGACTTTTAAAATGTGTTCCCCGACTGATTACAGATTAATACCCCAAAATGTACTTTGTAACGTAATCCATTAAATTACTTAAAATGAGTAACATAATCTGTATGCTTTGGATTAATTGATATTGTCATGCTTTTTAAAACTGCATGAATGTTGCGACCCCATCCTGAAAATTCTTATTTGTTCTCTTCAAATTGGCTGAGCCCAAGTCTCCATGAACAGACTTTTGTTTACTGTAAAGTAGCAAAGACTAGAATCTTCACATAAGATGTTTTATCTGCTAAAAGACAAGAAAAAGTCCAGTCTTTCCTTAACCAGATTAAATATATTATTGATAGAGAAATGATTTTTATATGAGATCACTGCTGTATGTCCACCTACTGTTAGTGTCATATTGTTTAGACCTGGTTTAGTTCTGGTTTAGTTCTGGTTTAGTCCCGGTTTAGTCCCGGTTTAGTCCTGGATTTAGTCCTGGTTTTAGTCCTGGTTTAGCCCAAAATGTGAAAACAGGAAAATACCACCATGTAATCTATTTATTTCAACAAAGTAACTGTAATCCAATTACCACTCACTGAAACAGTAACTGAATACAGTTACTCATAATCTATGTACTCTGATTATGTAACGCCAGTACATGTAATCTGTTACTCCCCAACACTGTCATCCAGGGCATATATCACAAAACAGTAAATATTAAAAAAACTATCATACTATGAGCTGATTGAATGCATATTTGTGAATTCAACACTCATTTATGATATAGTTAAAATATGTGAAGTTGTGATATTTACCCTGGATGATCATGAGGACGATACAAGTTGTTTGAAAAGAATCGGTGTCATATATCACAAGTTAAAGGAGTGTCTTTGAATGTGTCAAATGTCCAATATCCAAAATCTAACCAGTTCAACCGCGGTACGATACCACCACTTGGAATGTGAAACCAAATACCTCATCTATGATAATCTGACTATGATCACGTGACTGTGAGTAGGTTTGTGCGTCCTGTTGTGCCTTCAACATTCAAACGATGTTTCACTCTATTTAGTTTCACTTTGGCAGTGGTTTTAATGTTTAATATCGTGAATGTTTAATATTGTGAATCACCCACGGGCCTGTCCCTCTGCACACTGCACTGGGAGAATATGACACTGGCACTAAGAACTCATCTGGCAGTGCGTAAAAGTCACGTTCCGCCGCCGTACCTTAATGTTGGTGAAGTCGTAGTCGAACTTTCGGTCGAAGAAATCGTCCGGGTTGACTCGTGCCACGGGTCTGGACTCAGGAGCGGGCGGGGGGGCCGTCAGAGCGGGAGGGGCGCTGTACAGATCGTCCATGTCTCGGTCCACGGCGTCGTCCCGGAGCGACATGGAGCCCAGACTCGGGTACTCCAGCTGCTCCAGGCCCTCCCGTTTGTAGAACTGCCGCAGAGCCACAATGTTCACGAAGTCCTGCGGGCCGAGCTGCGACGCGCCTCCGCTCTGCTGCACGGAGCAGCCGGAGAGAGCCGAGAGAGCCTCCAGACACAGCGCCGTGTCCACCATCGCACCGGGGAGAGCGGCTCAACGCGGGGGGACGCGGGAGAGACTCAGGGAACGAAGTTTTAGATGGAAAAGTTTCAGATTCTGGAGCTGAGAATCAGAGAGGTGTCGCCTGTCCGTGCGCCAGCCAGATTCTGAACTTTCACTTTCATATCGGCTTCATACTTTCGATTTGAGCTCAAGCCACGTATTTAAAGGAAACTACAACATGCACACAAGGATAACCACTCTGCCACAGTAACACAGGGATAACCACTCTGCCACAGTAACACAAGGATAACCACTCTGCCACAGTAACACAAGGATAACCACTCTGCCACAGTAACACAGGGATAACCACTCTGCCACAGTAACACAAGGATAACCACTCTGCCACAATAACACAGGGAGAACACGGCAAAAGGACAAAACTGAATTTCTCCTTTTGCCGTGGATTCTACCTGAGGGATTTTACGCACAGGGAGAACATGCACACTCCACTCAGACAGATCAGGAGGCGGTGACAGACGTCCCTGTTTACCCGGGACAGTCCCAGTTCTGAGTCCTGTGTCCCCTGTCCCTGCAGATTTATATAAAACTTTATACACTTGATACTAAAGTGATTTGTCCCAGTTTTATACAAGAAATGTCCAGGGGGATGTCATGGGAAATAGGGCTGGGTATCATTAAGGAGTTGCCGATACGATACATACCTCGATACACAGGCCACGATACGATACATATCTCGATACAGTGCACTTTCATTTCGATATAATATATTTCAAATCGATTTGATACGGTTCAATACAAAATAAAGGCAAAATCGTGGCTGTGATACTACAAGTGTTTGTTAAACCACTTCTTGTGCAAAGTTCATATGAAACACAAACATTTTAATCCTCAAAACAGTAAAAATGTCAAATGTGTCACATAAATGAGTTTCCTTTCACTCCACAAGCAACAAAACTGTAGCTGTAACAAAATAATTTAGTAAAACACACCTAAAAATACTCTTGGTGAAATATCGATTCAGTAGCCCACGATATCCATACTGTATCATCACATTAAACAATATGATATATCAATATTCCGATATTTTTGCACACCCCTAATGGGAAAAAAATCATTTTCACAGTTATTTTGGTCAATATTGAAATCACGATTATTCAAATTGTTGTGGCAAAAATTATATATCTGTTGATGATAAATAATGAATCCATTTGCAAAGCCCAATGAGTTTTTGGAATATAGACCAAGGTTTATTCTTGTTACAGCAGATATGGACAGAGCCTAGGCCTGTTCTGACCAAAGCCAACAGCCTCTCTCCACCAGCAGCATGTTCCTACGACATCTCCCACCAGTATCTCCCCATGTATCCCCCCCAGAGTATTTGAGCTCTGAGTATTTATACAGAAATACAAGTGACATACATATCAAAGCAGAGGGACTTTGGTTTCAGAGGCTGGTGCTTAATGAACATAGAGTTGATGATAACAAAGGGCTTCCTGAAGGAGGAGACAGTTGTGTCTGATGAACCTTTCCACATGTTGATGACTGCTCTGGGTTTCAGGTACAAATCACATTCATTTACACAAAGACAGATTGAGAGAAAGTTTTCCACAATATAAATTCTGTCACACAAATGATTATTTTTTACTTACACGATGCATTTATTGAGCATTTCTCTCTCTTTGTTATTGATAATTTATGTAAAAATTTCTATTTAAAATAAATACAGGCTACAACTATTAGTTTTGCGATGTATAAAACGAATCAAATATACTTTGAACCTGAAATAAGGCAGAAAAACATAAATGTATCCAAAATAAACTGTATTTCCAGCTGTTCTACAATCTCTATATTAATATATATATATATATATATATATATATATATATATATATATATATATATATATATATATATATATATGTGTGTGTGTGTGTGTGTGTGTGTGTGTGATATATATATATATATATATATATATGTGTGTGTATATGTATATATATATATATATATATATATACTTGTTTATATAAAAAAATAAATAAAAAAAATCCCCAAATAAACGTTGTTAAGCTTTAATTGTTTCAACTGGATTATATGAGTTTGGAGATCATTTTGACACACAAATCAAAATCACGATCAAAATTCGATTAATTGCACAGACTTATCCCAAGTGTCCGTATTTTTTACCAATCTGATCCTGCCAACAGTAAAGAGAGACATCAACTGTCATTTGTTTAGGGAAAATACAGAAAAGCTGCTTAAAAACGACCAAAACACAAAGAAAATGTAACTATACTGATTCACATGTTTGTCATGAATAGGCCGAGTGCAGAACAATTTTCCTTAATTATGCACTTGTTTCACAATTTTATTCATTTATTTATTTATTTATTTATTTATTTGAGACAGGGACAGCACACAAGTTTTACATGAACCTTAACTGGAGAGATGCATTGTACATCAGGTTGTAGCATCAGTGCTTATTTCCACCTGTCGTCCCTGGGCAGGTTCATTGATTGTATTTGACCTTAGCTATCATCTGTTCTTGGAGACCTGTGTAGCATGTTTTGGGTTATTGGGCTATTTTATTACCGACCACTTCAAACCAGAGTATGTCCCAGTTCTTGATTTTGAAAATAGAACATTCATGAACATTCACACAGACAGTGGCTCCCTCTTTTCTGCATCACTCGAGGAAAAACTAAGGCAAGGCAAGTTTATTTGTACAGCACAGTTCGTACACAAAGTAATTCAAAGTGTTTTACAGAATAAGAAATACATTAAAATCATAATAAAAACAAATCAAAACATAAATAATCATGAAGATTAAAATTAAAAAAGAGAGACATAAATTGGAGAGAAGAGTGCGGAATGAAAACCTTTCAGTTATATGCACAGTTAAACAGAAATGTTTTGAGTCTGGATTTAAACAGCGTCACAGAAGAGTCTGTCTCACATGTTCAGACTGTTCCAGGTTTTAGCTGCATGAACCTGAAACTCTGACTCCCCTTGTTTAGTCGTGACTCTGGGCACCAGCAGGAGGCCGGTCCCTGAGCTCCTCAGAGTGTGAGATGGTTCATATGACACTAACACGTCACAGATGGACTTTGGTGCTCGGACATGGAGAGACTTGTACAAGCAGAGACACTTTAAAGTCTATTCTCTGAGGCACAGGAGCCAGTGCAGAGACCTGAGCACAGGACGCATGTGCTCGTACTTCCTAGTTCGAGTCAGGACCCGAGCTGCAGTGTTCTGGATGTTCTGGATGTTCTTTATGTTCTGCAGTGTCTCACAGCTCGTTTGGAGAGACCAGTGAGCAGAACATTACAGTATCTAACCTACTGGAGACAAACACATGGATAAGTCTCTCCAAGTCTGTAAACTAAAGTAAACGAAAACTAAAACACAACACTCCCCACCCTAACCGGGAGTCAAACCCACAACCTGAAGCATGTTTTGTTTTGTTTTTCAGGTCGATGCTCAGGCTGTTGCTGTGGCTCAGATATCGCTGAGGTCCGTCTCCTCGTGCTTTAAACATCACACTTGTTGCAGTTCTTATTGTAAACATGTGTTTCTTGATCTTCTCAGGACGGCGCTCTGCATTACTCCAGTCTGAAACACCTGAACGTGCCCCGCCCCTTTGGCCGAGCTGACGTCCGATTGGTCCAGGAGGATGTCATTTACGACACGGTGAACCAACACGGGAACTTTCAGTCTAAATAGTGCGTCAGATGCCCTCCCAGATGTTGTGATGTTTCAGATGCCCTCCCAGATGTTGTGATGTTTCAGATGCCCTCCCAGATGTTCACATTTGTGGACTGTGACTTTTGGAGATTTCGGATAAAAATCCCAGAGAGTGAGACAGAATGAGCGAGACTTGATTTTGTTCAGAGTTTTGAACAAAGCTCACAGGTCATACCTTTTGAACGCCTCTGTATAATTTATTCATCCAAACAAAATACTTAACAGCCTTTTGGATCGATTTAGTTGTAATAAAACAAAGTCTGACTGTAATATTGTATTTTTTGTAAATTATTAAAAACTTAACGTCTTAAAGTGGCTGTACCTGTTTCTGTCTATGTATTTGAGTAAAATGTGTCTTGCTCCAGTGCAGATCTTTGTGTTATTGTCAGAGAATTAGGAAATGGGCATTAGCATTGTAGTTGCTGTAAGTAAACCTGCTCTGGCCTCTGAGAGTTGGGAAAAGTGCTTCTTAGCGTGCAGCTAACAACCTGGCACTGAACATCACCAAGACTAAGGAACTCATCCTGGACTTTCAGAGGAACAGAGCCCCCCCGACCCCCTGTACATCAACGACCAAAGTGTGGAGTGAGTGGAGACCTTCAAATTCCTTGAGGTTCACATCTCTGTGGATTTCTCCTGGTCAGTCAACACCTCAGCACTGGTCAAAAAGGCCCAGCAGCGGCTGCACTTCCTGAGGTGCTCAGGAAGGAGCAACTAAACACAAGCTGCTGCTGACCTTCTATCATTCCACCTTTGAGAGCTGCTGACCTCTGCTGTGTCAGTGTGGCTCTCGCTGCACAGAGGCCGACAGTAAGTGTCTGCAGACGATCACCAACTCTGCACAGGACATTACTGTCTGCCCTCTGCCTTCCTTAAGAACATTATACAACTCCCGCTGTCTCAGCAGAGCGAGGAAATTCATTAAAGACAATACACACCCTGGATTCACCTGTTCAACCTGTTGTCTTCTGGCAGGAGCTTCAGGTCAATTCCAGCAAAGACCAAAATACTCAGGGACAACTTCTTCCCCAAAGCTGTCACCAAACTTAATGAGAACTGTTCATTAGTTTTATTTATTAATTAATTCTTGCACTTTGACAGAGCAGCTCTGAATTTCATTATACTGTATAATGACAATAAAGGCTTTCTATTCTGTTCCATTCTATTCTATTCTTCTGAATCTATTCTAAGGTAAGGCATAAGGGAAGTGAAAAACTCTGGACCACTGCAAACTCTTTAAAATGAACTAATTTGTTTTTTCATGTATTTAAGACAGAAAACAAAAACAAACAAACAAACAAAAACAGGTACAGAGACTTTAAATATGAACATGTGATCATTTGGTGCAGATGGTGGAGTAGATGACCCTGTGCTCCTGGCTGCCCCCGGTGGTCGGGGCAGGGCGGTGCTTCCAGGTGGGGCGGCCCAGGGAGGCGTAGTGTATCCCATCTTCAGCCTCCTCCTCCGGGCTTGGACACTCCGGCTCACTCTCCTCTGTGCAGAAACACGTTCACGTTACACTGAGCTGTGGGTTTCAACCTGAGAGAAGAGGACCACAAGAGGGCGCCACTGCTTTTCTTTTGAAAGAGGAGGTATTATACAAATTGCTTTCTTTTGTTTTAGCACAGAAATAAACTGTATTTTTGGTGACTATATCATTTTCAAAACAATAAAAAGAAACATCATGATCTAATATGTTATGTGTTACAGTTCATACCCACAGAAGTAAAGTAACCCATATTTATATATTTCTTTTTTACCGTCTGGTTTCAGGGCTGTGGTCCACGGATGCAGCTCAGTCGACTCAGGACTCTGTTTCTCTACAAGAAAAGATCTTGCAAATTAAAGTTCCTATATTAAACAAAATGGACTTTTAAACCACGTTCTAACACTATTACCTCCTCAAAAACAAACCTGGAGCTGTCAGATGAAGAAAAAAAGAAGACAGAGTGCTTCACTGAGTCTTAAAAGAGTAAAAAAATAGAAGTAGAGGTGCTCTACGAGGGTTAAAACAGTGATCTTTGAGCAGAAAATGACCCTTACTGGAAAATGTAAGAATGGGTATGGAATGGGTAAGAATGGTGTTCGTCAGGGCAAAGTTGAAAGCTCTTTGCCCTGACGAAGACCATCCTGCTGGTCGAAAAGTGTGGGCGTCCCTTCATGTAATAAAGGACTTTTAATATATTCAGTCGGAGTGCCTCGTGTTTGTGCCTTACCCATTCTTACATTTTCCAGTAAGGGTCATTTTCTGCTCAAAAACCTGGAGCAGTGTTTTGTTTCACTCACACTTGTTTGAATAATCCTTTATTATTAGTACTAGTATTTATTCTAGTGAAGAACAAACACAGTGAAGCACTTCCTGTATTACCATATGACATCACAAGGTGGAGCGGAGATTTTTATCATTTGTCAGTTTGAGAAAAGAACTCAGCCTAAATCTGCAGGTTTTGTGTGTTAAAATATGAGAACGAAACAAAACACAACTCCAGGTGTGTGTTAAAATAGCATATAAAGCTTCATCATGGAACTTTTCAGTTGGAGGGTCTGACACCTGCTTGTCTCCATGGAGATGTGATTGCCTTGTCTGCAATGTCCCACAGCAGCGTTTAACTTCCCTATCTCCATGGAGACGGGCAGATTGTGATTTTATTTGTGAAATTATAATAAACGAAATGTAAATAAACGAAATGTTGCAGACGTTACCTTTCCTTCTGCGTCTCTTCCTCCGACACTTCACAGCGAGGAGGAAAACACAAACAGAAGAGGTGAGCAGGACCATCAGGCTCAGACAGACCACGCCCATCAGGAAAACTGGAACCAATCAGAGCCAAGAATTACACTCTATTAACCAATCAGCTAAGGATAACAGTTTATTAACCAATCAGAGGCAAGGACTGTACTCTGTCCACAAATCAGGGACATGTCTTTAACAAATCACAACCAATATCGGAAGAACAAGTGACCAATCAGAAGTGAGGATTATACAGCATTAACCAATCAGAGACAAGCATATAAACACTTCATCTTCCACCTTCATATCAAAAGTCACCCACTCCTGTTTTCTCCACCTCCGCACAATTAGTAAAATCAAACATATCCTCTCCCGTTCTGATCTTGAAAAAGTCGTCCACGCGCTCGTCTTCTCCCGTCTACAGTATTACAACTCCCTCCTCTCCGGACTCCACTCCAAATCCATCTCCCACCTCCGACTGGTTCAGAAGCAGCAGCTCTTCTCCTCACTGGTTCAACATCAACACATGACCCTGTTTTACTTTCCTTCACTGGCTCCTGTGGGTTTGAGAATCAATTTGAAGATTTTACTGATCACTTTTAAAGCTTGTTTAAGTCTTGTGCTAAGGTACATTTCAGAACTTTTAACTCCGTATGAGCCTCCCACAGCCACAGTTCCTCAGGCAGGTTCATGTGGTTGTTCCTCTTCAGTCTTAGATCCTCAAGCAGGTTCATGTGGTTGTTTCTCTTCAGTCCTTGATCCTCGGGCAGGTTCATGTGGTTGTTTCTCTTCAGTCCTTGATCCTCAGGCAGGTTCATGTGGTTGTTTCTCTTCAGTCCTTGATCCTCGGGCAGGTTCATGTGGTTGTTTCTCTTCAGTCCTTGATCCTCGGGCAGGTTCATGTGGTTGTTCCTCTTCAGTCTTAGATCCTCAGGTTCCTGTGGCTGTTCTTCTTCACCTTTAGATCCTCGGGCAGATCCCTGTGGCTGTTCCTCTTCTTCTTCAGTCTTAGATCCTCAGGTCTCTGTGGCTGTTCCTCTTCATCCTTAGATCCTCAGACAGGTCCATGTCATTGTTCCCATTGTTCCTCTTCAGGCTTAGATCTTCAGGCAGGTCCCAGTGGTTGTTCCTCTTCAATCTTAGACCTTCAGGTCCATGTGGTTGTTCCTCTTCAGTCCTTGATCCTCGGGCAGGTTCATGTGGTTGTTTCTCTTCAGTCTTAGATCCTCAGGTTCCTGTGGCTGTTCTTCTTCACCTTTAGATCCTCGGGCAGATCCCTGTGGCTGTTCCTCTTCTTCGTCAGTCTTAGATCCTCAGGTCACTGTGGTTGTTCCTCTTCAGCCTTAGATCCTCAGGCAGGTCCTTGTGGCTGTTCATCTTCAGTCTTAGATCCTCAGGTCCCTGTGGTTGTTCCTCTTCATCCTTAGATCCTCAGACAGGTCCATGTCATTGTTCCTCTTCAGGCTTAGATCCTCGGGCAGGTCCTTGTGGCTGTTCATCTTCAGTCTTAGACCCTCAGGTCCTTGTGGATGTTCATCTTCAGTCTTAGACCCTCAGGTCCTTGTGGTTGTTCCTCATCAGGTTTAGATCTTCAGGCAGGTCCTTGTGGCTGTTCCAGAGTCCAGGCTCCAGACGAAGGTGATGTACCTTTTCAGTCCAGGTGCCTCGGCTTTGGAACGACCTGCTTGAGAAGATGAAGCTTACACCATCACTATCATCTTTTAAATCACTTCTTAAGACTCTTTTTGATCGGATGGTCTTCCTTTAACTGGTTTTAGCTTCCTTTTATTCCTTGACTCTATTTTCTCTATGTCTTTTGACTTATTCTTTATAATAAATTGGATTGTTTGCATCATTGTTTTTGTGCTTTCTGTCTGCAGTTTTTTTAATATTTTTTGTATCATTCATTGCTGTTTGTACATCACTTTCTAAACCTTGTTTTTAAAAGTCCTTGAATAAAGATGTATTATTACTAACATCAGTAGAACTAGGGGCCAATCAGAGGATAATAGTCCGTTAACCAATCAGAGACAAGCATTCAACACATAGCCAATGTGAGGAGACCAATCAGAGCCAAGAATACCAGCGTAATAACCAATCAGAGAAAAGGATTTAACACACTACCAACATGAAGGGAACTGGAGACCAATCAGAAGTAAGGATTATACACTGTCCACCAATCAGAGACGAGTATTTAACACACGGCCAACACCAGGACAACTGGGGGACGAATCAGAGGCAAGGACAGAGGCAAGACTGTATTAACCAATCAGAGTCGAGCATTGAGCACATTAACAACATGTGGAGAACTGGAACCAATCAGAGGCCATGATAACAGTCTATTAACCAATCAGAGATGAGTATTTAACACATCACTAACTTTAAAGGATTTAGGAACCAATCAGAAGTTAGGATTAAACACTGTCCTCTAATCAGCCTTTTTATTTGAAAAATGTGAAAATTCAACTTTTTTAACACGTTTTAATTCACAAACCGTTTTCTGGTGTCTTCTCTTTCCTCTTTTCCTCTGCAAAATCTACAAAGACAAAGTTTGCAGTTTGAGAGGTCAAAGGTTGAGAGTGTTTCATGTTGGAGCAGAGACTGACCTGTGCCTCTAGAGGGCGCTGAGCTGCTGTGAGGCGAGGAGGAGGTCGGTCCCATCTCTGAAAACAAAGGTTAGGTTCGGTCGCTTTATTCATACTCGTATGTAAATTTGCTTTGCAGATTTGAGAGGCAGGCTCCACATTTCACATTTCATTCATCCACAAAACACGTATAAAAACACAATTACAAAATAAAGTGCTCCAGGGCTCCAGTGCAGAATGGTTTGTTCTATAAACAATTAGTTAAATTCATCCATCACGCTTGGCTAAAATCACAATAAATATTAAATATGTTAAAAACACACAATCTTAGATAAATAGATTACAGTTTATTCATAAGTACGATAGTAACCGGAACGAAGCTCCTTTTAAAATGATTCGTTCTAGATCTTGGGACTAAAAGCCTTTGACCAGAGAGAAGCAGCTGAAACTCTGAGTTTAGTGGATGTTGCACGTCTTTTAAAATCCTCTGGGACGTCGTCTGTAACTGTCTCGACTACAGAGAGTCCAGCGGCTCTGAGGATGAACAATCACCTTACTCGCCCATTTAACTGACTGATTCAGGGAGTTCTTGTTTTTAGCAGAGACGCTCCTAAACCACGAGACTAATGAAAATGTTAAAACTGATTCCATAAATGTTATAAAACAGTGTCATCATGGTTCTGTCTACACGGTGAAAGGAAAACTTTCTCAGACAGTGAAGGCGCTGGTGCCTCTTTTACACACACCAGAACAATTATCATCAAAACTCAATTTTGACTCAATGAGTGTTCTAAGATACTTCTATGAGTCCACACACTCAGCTGACTGCCCCTTTATCTCTGTGACGTCACACTGAGGCGCTCGCTTTCGAAAGTCAATAATCATATCCTTCGTTTTGGAAACATTTAGGTGCAGATTTGACTCTTCACACCATTTTACAAAGTCCTCAACAATTGGCCCATGTTGGTTTTCATTTTTGTGAAGCGAGCTCACAATGAGAGAATCATCCACATATTTTATTATAGTTCTATTCTCACAACTGCTCTGACACTTATTGGTGTACAGTATGAACAGCAGGGATGAAAGAACACATCCCTGCGGTGGCGGTGATCCGGTTGATGACACCATCTGGTCAGAAAGGACACCATTCACTCTTACTCTTTGTGTTCTCTGTGCTAAAAAATCAAGAATCCACACCACAATATTAAAATCAAGGCTAACATGTTCTAAAAGTCTTTTACAAAGAATATGTGGTTGGATTGTGTTGAACGCAGATGAAAAGTCAATAAAAAGAAGTCTTACATGCGTTCCAATCCCCTCTAAATGCTCACTCTAACACTAGTAGTTTAATGTAATATATATATATATATATATATATATATATATATATATATATATATATATATATAATATATATATATATATATATATATATATATATATATATATATATATATATATATATATATATATATATATATTATGCACAGTGATAATGTAAAATTTTTTATGTATTCATAACCCTACTGGGTTTTTTGCCTCTTCCGGCACCTGCTTTTTATGTAGTCTGTTTCTTTTTATTGTCATGTTATATGTGCAAAATAAGTAAAATAAAATAAATAAATAATAAATAAAATAAATTGTCACTTTTTGCTTGAAAAACGGTCCATATGAAATGAAATAACAAACTGTATAAAGATCATTCAGGCTTTTAAACCCACATGTTCATTCTTAAAGAAAAATATTGAACATGTTCCCATTGTTTTAGTGTGAAAAGTCAAAAGTCTTTACTAGAAACTGACTATTTCTGAAATCGAGTCAAATAAGGTGCAGAAATAGTTTCCTGGTTCGATGAGATGCTCCAGAATGTGCTCGACCAGTTTACACAAGCTTTGTCATCAGATTCAGATGGTTTTACTAGAATGTTGTAAAGCAGCAGTTGAACCAGGACTAAACCAGAACTAAACCAGAACTAAACCAGGTGTTAACCAGGACTAAACCAGGACATAGGACTAATTCAGGAGTAAACCAGGACTAAACTAGGACTAGAACAGGTGTAAAGCAGGACTAAAATGCGGCTAAACCAGACTAAACCTGGACTAAGTCAGGACTAAACCAGGACTAAGTTAGGACTAAACCAGGACTAACTCAGGACTAAGTCAGGACTAAACTCAGGACTAAGTCAGGACTAAGTCAGGACTAAGTCAGGACTAAACCAGGACTAAGTCAGGTGTGTTGTGTACCTGGCAGCACTTGGACAGTTCCCAGGCGTTGGGAGTTGCAGCGATATTCTCCGGCATCGTGGACTTGCACAGATGAAATGCTCAAAGCTCCATGTTCAAAGCCGAGTCGAGGGTCCGGTCTCTCCAGCACCACAGCGCCCCCTTTGGACCGGCTCAGGACGGGCTCCCATCTGGACCTAGATCCGGACTGAGACCCGGACTGGGACTTTCTCCAGGACCAGCGCTGCCGAGATTTGATGAAGGAGGAGGAGCAGGGGAGCAGCAGAGTCCAGCCGACCCGAACACAGAACACCTCACCTGGAGAGAGACCAAGACCAGCGACCTGGGTCAGACCTGGGGAAGTCCTGGTTTAGTCTCTGGTTTAGTCTCTGGTTTAGTCTCTGGTTTAGTCTCGGGTTTAGTCTCGGGTTTAGTCTTGGGTTAGATATGCTTTTTATTTGTTTTTTGTTTTGTTGTCCTAGTTTAGACCACGTTCGACCTGGTTAGACTTAGTTTAGTCTGAGTTTAAGGTACAGTATTGGTTCAGACCTGGTTTGGTCCTGGTTTAGTCCTGTTCCAGATCTGGTTGACTGCAGGTTCAGATCTGGTTCAGATCTGGTTTAATTTAGTCCTGGTTTAGTGCTTGTTCAGACCTTGTTCAGATCTGGTTTAGTCCAGATTGAGACCTGGTTTAGACCTGGTTTAGTCCTGGTTTAGTCCTGGTTTAGTCCAAATTCAGACCTAGTTTAGACCTGGTTTAGTCCTGGTTTAGTCCAGGTTTAGTCCAGATTCAACCCTGGTTTAGACCTGGTTTAGTCCTGGTTTAGTCCTGGTTTAGTCCAAATTCAGACCTAGTTTAGTCCTGGTTTAGACCTGGTTCTGATCTGGTTAAGTCCAAATTCAGACCTGGTTTAGACTTGGTTTAGTCCTGGTGTAGTCCTTGTTTAGTCTTAGTGTAGTCCTGGTTTAGTCCTGGTTCAGACCTGGTTTAGTCCTGGTTTAGTCCTGGTTTAGTCCTGGTTTAGTCCTGGTTCAGACCTGGTTTAGTCCTGGTTTAGTCCTGGTTTAGTCCAGTCCTGGTTTAGTCCTGGTTTAGTCCTGGTTCACTGGAGTCCTGGTTTTCAGTCCTGGTTCAGTCCTGGTTTAGTCCTGGTTTAGTCCTGGTTCAGACCTGGTTTAGTCCTGGTTTAGTCCTTGTTCAGACCTGGTTCAGTCCTGGTTCAGTCCTGGTTTAGTCCTGGTTTAGTCCTGGTTTCAGACCTGGTTTAGTCCTGGTTTAGTCCTAGTGGTTCACCTGGTTTAGTCCTGGTTCAGTCCTGGTTCAGTCCTGGTTTAGACCAGTCCTGGTTTAGTCCTGGGTCCTGGTTTCAGACCTGGTTTAGTCCTGGGTTTCAGACCTGGTTTAGTTCCTGGTTTAGTCTGGTTCAGTTTCCTGGTTTAGTCCTGGTTTAGTCCTTGGTTTAGTCAGACCTGGTTTAGTCCTGGTTTAGTCAGACCTGGTTTAGTCCTGGTTCAGACCTGGTTTAGTCCTGGTTTAGTCCAGTCCTGGTTCAGTCCTGGTTAGTCCTGGTTTAGGTAGACCTGGTTTAGTCCTGGTTTAGTCCTGGTTTAGTTCCTCCTGGTTTAGTCCTGGTTCAGACCTGGTTTAGTCCTGGTTTAGTCCTGGTTTAGTCCTTGTTCAGACCTGGTTTAGTCCTGGTTTAGTCCTGGTTTAGTCCTGGTTCACCTGGTTTAGTCCTGGTTTAGTCCTGGTTTAGTCCTGGTTTCCTGGTTTAGTCCTGGTTTAGTTCAGACCTGGTTTAGTCCAGTCCTGGTTTAGTCCTGGTTCAGACCTGGTTTAGTCCTGGTTTAGTCCTGGTTCAGACCTGGTTTAGTCCTGGTTTAGTCCTGGTTCCTGGTTTCAGACCTGGTTTAGTCCTGGTTTAGTCCTGGTTTACCTGGTCTAGTCCTGTTTTAGTCCTGGTTTAGTCCTGGTTCAGACCTGACAGGACCTGCAGCTGGGCTCTCAGTTCTCCGTTGCAGAAGTACACTCCGCTGTCTGAAGTCCGCAGACTCAGGAGGCACAGGGTCCCGTTGGATCTCACACTGAACCTCCAGTGGTCCTGGTCTTGATCCTGGTCTTGATCCTGGTTTTGATCCTGGTTTTGATCCGGGTCTTGGTCTCGAGGGTGAGGGGGGACCTCCTGAACCCCGTGAGTCCAGCTGAAGTCTTGGTTGTTCTCCAGACTGGGTCCACAGGGCAGACACAGGAGATGATGTTCTGGGACAGACACGCGCCACACCATAGCGCCATCTGCAGGCCACAGGGAGAACTGCACAACTGACCACAGGTTTGTCACACACTTAGAAAACAAAAAGTAGAAGTTTGCTCTGATCTCTGTTCTAATGTTGTTTCCTCGTCACACACACACCTGGAGTTGTGTTTTGTTTCATTCACACGTTTAACACACAAACCTGCACATTTAGTCTGAGTTCTTCTCTCAAACATTATACACTCTTGTTCCACCTTGTGATGTCATGTGGTGATAGAGTAGGGTGACCAAATGTCCTTTTTTCCTCGGACATGTCCGTATTTTGCGTATTGTCCTGGGCATCGGGTTTTTTTTTAATAAAGTGATGAAAATGTCCAGGTTTTCATTTCCGTTCATTGGGGACATTAAACTGAGCGTCTCTCGTAGCGTCTGTGACTCAGAAGGAGTGAGACACAGACAGTCGGTCAGTCTGCAACACGACGAAGCACAAAAGCACATTTAACAATGACTTGGACAAGGTCATGTGCACAGTTTGTGAGGTGAGAGTACAGTGTCCCTCGTTTATCACGGGGGTTATGTTCTAAAAATAACCTGCGATAGGTGAAATCTGCAAAGTAGTCAACTTTATATTTTACAATTATTCTATCTGTTTTAAGTCTGTAAAACCCCTCAGCACAAACTTTATACACTTTTCTCAGACAGGACAGGTGCAACCCTTTTTACATCCTTCTTAAAACTTCTTGCTGCTGTCGTCCTTGTGTTATTTTCCTCCTTCTTTATGTAACAAACTGAAGGTTCATTTATTTCGTAATGGAGCCGACAGCGCAGAATCCTGCACAGCTCAGTTTTTGGAGACCCGCAGTACAACACCGCACCTGCGCAGGTACAACGCCGCACCCGCGCGGTACAACGCCGCACCCGCGCGGTACACGCGCACCCGCGCGGTACAACGCCGCACCCGCGCAGTACAACACCGCACCCGCGCAGTACAACGCCGCACCTGCCCGTTAACCCGAGATTATATCAAACTTTTGCACTGCCAACCCCACGGACTGAACCAAGACTAAACCAGGACTAACCCAGGACTAAACCAGGACTCAGTGTCAGGACAGGCTCGGAGGTGACGCAGGAGAAAGGACCGGCTCAGCTCCGCACCTCACGGAGGTAAACGCGGCAATTGGTGCTCGGCGTTCTCTTTCTTAACTCCAAGATTAGTCCTGGTTTAGACCTGGTTTAGTCCTGACCCACCCGTGTTTAATTACTACCCACCTGTAATACACAATACGTGTTAATACGCTGTAAAAAAGGTGTCAGGGTTTTCACAAATGGAAATATGGTCACCCTATGATAGAGGAGGTGCTCCACTGTGTTTTAAACTCCACACACTTTCACTAAAATCATTTGGATAAATTCAGTCGTGGAATGGATCAATGTGTTCAATCCAACATGCACAACCAGACCCACGTCACACAGAGCATGTTGTTGGCAGCACACTCCTTTTATGGGGAAAACGATCCCTCAGAGCAAGAAATAAATCTGTCTTAGTGACCGTTGTTGTTCGTGTTAGACATGTCAAAGAGCTGCTGTGTGGTTGGGTGTACAAACAATAAAGCTAAGAAACCTTCGCTGAAATTCATTCCCCTGCCATGTCCACAAAAAATCCTGTCAGAAGAAAATTATGGCGACAAATCATACGAAGAGAAGAGCCCAACAGGAAGCTGTGGGACTCTGCATCACTACATACTTTTGTGTGTGGAGAACACTTTGTAACAGGTGGGTTAATTTATCAAACATAACCTATGCTACCAGTGATGTGTAAAGTCATAACCTCATATTCCCTCCCGATGGAACAATAAACAACACAGACTGTTTACATTAGGCCCTGTCATGTTTTCTTCACACAGTTATTCCCATAACTACCATAACTAACCCTCTGAGACATTTATTTCGATGTGTCTAGTTTTGCTTCACATTGACTGAATGTAACAAAAACTGCACATCCCAGCAGCACCCAACACTCTGTCTTACATCACACACACATTTTTGGATGGGAAATATGAATATTGGAGTGAATATCACATTCCAGAGTCAAAAGGCATGGCTGCCTTCTACTGACCACCCATGTTTAGTGTTAGAAAAGTTAAATATGTTTTTTTTTAAAGTATACTACACGTGATTTAGAGTGATTTAAGTAAATGTTGCAAAAACGCAACACTGGGTTACAAAGGGCGTCCCTGTTACACAGAGAATCCCTCAGCCCTGAGTGTTGAGCCAATAGAACAGATGGACAGGTGTGTGTGTGTTTATAGTTGTGTAATATATAAAATTGTATCATATTGAAATAGAATCAGAGAACAGTGACAGTGAGAAGTGTTTCCAGTGTTTTGCTTTCATCCTTCCACATTGTGGACAACCTCAGTGTTACAGATGAACAGAAGCAAGACAAACTTTGGAAGATTAGACCATGGTTGGAGTCATTTATGAAGAAGTACCAACCATGGATCTATGAAAATAACTGGATAGTGTATTTGCTGCTTGTATCTGCCTCCAGTTGATGTAGTGACTCACTGGAACTTCAGTGGAAAAAATCCCATGGGCCGAGACAAGCTTTTTCTCATAGAGCACAATGTAAACATAAACTGCTCATGTTTGTCTGACAGGGACCTACAACTTTCAAAAATGTCAGATTTGTTGGAAATTTTTACCTATTTTTGGATCATAAACTTTTTCTCAGCTCAAAATCCTTCAGTTGTCTTAAAAAACACTTTACTATAATTGTTAGCTCCGGCTCCGCTCTGCTCCTCTCACTTTGATTGGTCAAAGCGATCACGTGATACACAAGCCCACGCTCTGTGCGTGTGGTCGCGTGTGCCCGTGGGAGAAAAGAGCACTGGTGGAATCAGAAGTATATACATGAGAAACCACATCACTGGAGCTTCAAGATCGGAGCAAGAACAGGAATCTCCAGCACAATCTGTGACTTCCATGTGAACCAAGGGAGTGTGCTGGATAAACCTGCTGGGTCTAGCACCAAACCAAGACCTAATCTTCCAAAGTTTGTCTTGCTTTTGTTCATCTGTAACACTGAGGTTGTCCACAAAGTGGATGGATGAAAACAAAGCACTGGAAATGGTTCCAAGGCGTCACATCAACTATGGGGCCATTTTGTGTACTTATACTTAGTGCAAAAATGTGTGTTGTTTTTTTTTTTTTTTTTCAAATTTATTAATAAATTCATTCATTTTATTGAGTGAGTAATAACTAATACAAAGTTGGCTTTTATTAAATGTGAAGTTGTAATATTGTTTGTAACCACTAAAGCTCGCTGTTGCAATTTTGCAACATTTCCACAGATTAAAAAAAAAAAAAAAAAAAACGAAGAAAAAAAGATAAAACTGCACTTAAAATGATTTTCTGCATTAGAGGCCTAGTAAAATCATGTTAAAGACGGTAAAAAATAAAAATAAAAAATTCATTCAGGAAATGAATGCTTGGGTCTCAGTGTTTAAATGACGATGGTCTGAACAGAAGACACAAAAGTGGCGTCACGTCTTCACTTTTTATTCCGTGTTTAAACAAGTGTTTTCTGGAGTAAATCTGTGTGCATACAGTGACACAAAAGTGTGTGGAATTTGATTGGGTGTGCATGCCAGACGGCAATTTAATGGTCCCAATGAACGGTAATGAAAACCTGGACATTTGCATCACTTTATAAAAAAAACACAATAAAACGGACATGTCCAGGGACAAACGGACGTTTGGTCACCTGAGTGTAGACAGAAACGCTACAGCGGAGGCAGAGCGTATTCAGCTTTTCCACTCTGGAGGCTGGTTTCAGATTTGTGCATTTTTAAGCCCCAAAAACACTGTCACCGTCTAAACAAAAGGCACTTCTGCTCAAATATTTTGTCATTTTTACCCACAAGCGTTCTCGTGTAAACAGACCCTAGACCAAGCCAAGACAGTTGACGTTATGTTTAACTGATTTCAGGGTCCCAGCTGAACGATACTTTTGTACGTATCTTTCACAGTCAAAGGCAAAGTGGTCACGTCCTGGTCAGTCATATTGATCTGGTGTATTTTCAGTTATTATGTACACCTGGAGTTCTGTACCAAGTATGTTTATTCACCCTAATTTGCATTCTAGTTAACGAAAGAGGAGGGAACATCTCTCACCAGTCCAGTTCCCGGATGTGTCGGTCTAACGTTTACCCCCTGAAAAGTGACATAGTGCATCTTTAAATCTAACAGCACAGTTCAGCTTCAGTTTTATTCGTTTCTATTTTAAAGCGTGTGTTGTTGTGTGAATCAGCAGCACTTCCTGTTTGTGTGTTCTTGTTTATCTCCCACAGCCACACGTCCTCTGTGTCACTGTCTTTATTTGACTCTTTTATAAAAATAGGATTGGCTCATAAATATCGAACTGAAATATTATAGAAATCGGTGTATTCATTTTCCATCAACTCAATTAAAAAACACAGTGCACAGTCATTTGAGGATAATGGAAATGAAAATGTTCGTTTGTCTATTTTGCTGGAGATGTCGTCCACATTCCCTGGAGCTGTGACGCTAACTGTAGGCACTGCTCTGTCTGACGCCTCGTTAGACTTTGATCAGAACTTTATTTTAACATGATCTGACCAGAAAACCAGGACTAAACCAAGTCTGAACCAGGACTAAACCAAGACTAAACCAGGACTCAACCAGGACTAAACCAAAACTAAACCAAGTCTGAACCAGGACTAAACCAAGTCTGAACCAGGACTAAATCAGGTCTAAACCAGGATTAAACCAAGTCTGAACCAGGACTAAACCAGAACTAAACCAGGACTCAACCAAGTCTGAACCAGGACTGAACCAGGACTAAACCAGAACTAAACCAGGACTAAACCAGGACTGAACCAGGTCTAATCCAGCACTATTCTTGTGTGAGTGTCCACAAACGAACTCATCTGAACGAAACAACAGTTTTTCAGTTCGTCACTCTCATCTTTTTGTTGAAAATCAGACTCCTGAACAGGACCATGAACGCTCGAGTTTTCAGACAACCTTCAACTTTTTTGGTAACTTGTGAACATTCTGCCATAGACATACATGCACAACACCCTGAACGTGATGTCACTGCAAAGCATCAATAAATATTATCATCTAAATGTATTTTAATCTGTCAGTATAACAAAGTCTTAAACACATAGATGAGCTCAAGTGACATCACAACTTTAATCCTTCTATAACCTGAGCTGGAAACAGGACAGAATTCAAAAACATGAGTGTTTCAGGTGAAAAGTCTTAAGGACAAAAGATTCATTAGACAAATTTGTGGAGCCAATCTCAAAGAAATAATGAGAAGGTTCAACATTTGTGGATAAGAAGTTTGGAGATTGCTTTAAAAACATGGAGTTACACAGGCTCCATCTGACATTACAACATCATCACATTCTAAAAAGTCAATGCATCTTTGTCAACGTTCAAATTTTGGAGCCAGTTTTACCTGAGGAATTTTCAGAAGCAGACGACCCAATAATCTGGAAGAGCCAAACAATCCATAAGGCCATCGTCACAGAGACACTCCTGGAAGAGTCGCTCGTGTCAGTGTGAATCAAACAGCTTCCTCAAACTCAGTGGAAACGTGTCGTGGACAGACACAGACTGATGACCTCCCCCCACTACGACATGTTTCAACTACTTGAGTTAAAGATGAGGTAATACATACATACATACATATACATATACACACACATACATACACACACACACACACACACATATATATATATATATATATATATATATATATATATATATATATATATATATATATATATATATATATATATATATATATATATATATAATGTGTTGTTTTCTTACCTTCCACAGTGGTTGCTCTCATTATGGCCATGAATTGTTCTGTTACAACAAGTGTGTGTGTGTTAGTTTCAGTTAGTTCGCTCCTCCCTGCAGATATAAGGAAGTGTCACCAGTGTCTGACCAGAAGTGAAGAAGCAGCTCGGATGAGCTGAGAAACATCTTCAACCAAACTAACTTTTGTCCAGTCGATAAACTGAATTTTCTCCTCGCCGTGGATTCTACCTGGACGACTGAGGGATTCTTCACACATCTAGAAACAAAGGTTATCTTGGGCTGAAATTGAAGTTTATAAATTTGGTTTATAAAGTTTTTTGTGTACATTTGAGGCAGTGATAAATGCAATAAAATGCTTGAAAATGATCACTTTTGATGACAGTTTGTCAGGTGGACAGACATTTTTTATCTTTTGGTGTATGTTGAGGGTGATATTTGACAATAGAAAGGCAGCAAGCCCCAGAATATTTTTCTGCTAGTTTTCCCCGTGTGTCAGGATACACCATGTCAAATTTGAGGGTTATTTGACCATTTATACATTTACAGTGCCTTAATATTTACAGTTATATAATTTAAACTTTTTTAGCTTTTCTAAAAAGGGTGTTTTTTGGGCCCTGTTAGGCATGTTCTATCAAAAATGACTAGACTCAATCAATTTAAATTACAAAAATGTATTGACAATACAAATCTAATACAGAGCTCTGGGTCAGATCGTTGTCCCTAACTGCCTACAAAGTTACAGAGAGCTTACATCAGGCATCTGACTCCTCTGAATACTTCAACCCAGTTTTTATAAACATCCATATGAATATGCATATAATATGTTGAGCAGGTTCCCACCTTGAATCGTCGCCTTGAAGTGTCAGCATTTCTTCTTTGGGGGAAGTGACAACCCCCTCCAAACCATTGTAAATCACACCAAGTCTGTTTCGATAAGCCAGCTGGTTTTCTCCACAATCCCAGTTCTGCAAAGGAATTTGCTTAGAAGCACATAGGTCACCCATTATGTAGGAAACACAATGGTACTATTCAACAAATAAGATCTCAGTGTTTAAGCTTCAACTCAATGTGTAACTTCATTAAACAATATTCAAACCACCACTTGATACAGTCTTCAGCCCTGAGACCAAACAGGGCCGAGTGGGTTTTCAAATTTAGCTTTTTATCTTAAAGAAAATAAATGTATAGTGGCCATATTTTCAATTCAATTCAATTTTATATATACAGCACATTTAAAACAACTTCAGCTGACTAAAGTGCTTCACATACAAGTCAACAACATAGAAGAAACAGTTACAAACACATATATACAGAAAACATGTGAAAACTACATTAAAAACACCAAGATAACCTGACTTGCTCGTACTAAACACCAGGGAGAAGAGGTGAGTTTTCAGTCTGGTCTTAAACTGTGTTACAGACTGAGAGGATCTGACTGGAAGAGGAAGGTTGTTCCACAGTCTGGCCGCTGCCACAGAAAAAGTCTCTGTCACCTCTCGTCTTGAGTCTAGTTTTGGGCTCGACCAACAGGAGCTGGTCTGATCTCAGGCTCTGGGCGGAGGACAGAGCTGCAGTGACTCCCTCAAATAGACTGGACCCATGGAGTGCAAACATTTGAACACAATTAATAACATTTTAAATTGCACCTGATATAAGACAGAAGCCAGTACAGGTCACACAGCAGAGGTGTGATGTGTTCATGTTTCTTAGTATTTATCAGCAGACGAGCTGCAGCGTTCTGGACATGTTGTAAGTGCTGCAGGAGCCCTGGTCTAACCCGACATACAAAGAATGACAATAGTCCAGGTGTGATGTTACAAAAGCATGGATCACTTTTTCTGAGTTGAGGTTGGTCCCTATCAACTCGTGATGGCCCAAGATACAAGATAACAGGAAACAATAGTGAAAAAAAAGTTGCAAAAAACATCCTGAGGGGTGGACCTGGCTCCCGACCTAAATAAGGGTTGCAATTTGAGATTAGAACAAGTTCTTTGACTAAATCACTCCTACCCATTGATCTCATATTGTGCACAAATGTTGAGAATATGTCCAGGACTGGATGGGCGCACTCTACCTCTGAGCTGCACCTCTTTTCATTCACAGGTGTCACGGTGGTGGTGTCTGTTACGGCTCCGCATCGCCTGGTGCTCCCCGTTTGTTTTTTGTATCTTCTGTATTTGCATGTCCTGTGTGGTGCCTGCTGTCTGACTGGTGGGCCGTGGTTCCGATGCTGTGGACTGGCTCCGACGTCCCTTGTGCTGTGGTTGGAGGATTGACGTCCCGTTCCTCCAGTCCCTTCTCTACACATCAATCATCTCGACCAATAAAAGTGTTGTGTGTCCATCCCTCCTGGCGGCTGGATGACAGTTTCGGTTCGCCCCTCACATCTGTAGACGTTCGCTAGTCGTCTCTCTTTGATATTGTAAAGTGTGTTTATATTACTATAATTTTTAGTTTTGCCAGTTTGGCTCGGCCCTTGGGCAGTTGTTTTCTGTTGCTGTTAACTGCCCTAGTTTAGGAGTGGTTTAGTTACTTTGGGGAATTCTGAATTTTTTTTCAAATGTAAAACGTTTTATTTTGTTATTGTACTTACCCACATCACTTTATAAAACCCTTTTACTTTACCTCATATCTGGTTTGTGTTACTTTCCTTTGTCCCTAGCACTGGGTTGTAACAGTGTCTCTCCTCAGTGCCATCGTTTCCTTGTCACAAAGTGGCACTGGTGTTTTGTTAGTGGTGTTTTTAGAGTAGCACAGTAGTAAATGTAGATTCTTCAAACCATAAACACAAGAGTCACAAGTAATCGTTTTAATATTGAGAAAGATCTGTGCTTTAAACCCTGATTCTGTCCTGACTATGGAACAAGCACTAAAGTCCTACTGGACAAATCAAAGTGCTCATCAGTGCAAAATACCCTGTTCTGCTCATTTGTTACATTCTCAGATATTTTTACAGCCCCAGGTCTTTTGTTCTAATTAGTTTTTTGTGTTCTAAATGATTTTGCTGAGCTCTTCTGATTCCTGCTGTGGGAGCTCTGGCCCGTGATTGGTGGGCAGTGTTGGGAAGGTTACTTTTTAAATGTAATCCCCTACAGATTACAGATTACATACCCCAAAATGTAGTCTGTAACGTAATACATTAAATTACTTAAAGTGAGTAATGTAATCGGATTATTTAGGATTACTCGATTTGCTGTAGAGAAGCAAAGCCTAGGATATCGTAACATAAGATGTTTTATCTGCTAAAAGAAAATAAAAATCCCAGACTTTACTGAACCAAATTAAAAATATTATTGATAGAAGAGGAGACACGTCCACACAGCAGGATTTAGTCCTGGTTTAGTCCTGGTTTAGTCCTGTTTTAGTCCCAGTTTTAGACCTGTTTTAGACCTGGTTTAGACCTGGTTTAGATCTGTTTTAGGTCTAGTTTAGACTTGGTTTTAATCCTGGTTTAGATCTAGTTTAAATCTAGTTTAGACCTGGTTTTAGTCCTGGTTTAGTCCTGGTTTAGATCTAGTTTAGTCCTGGTTTAGTCCTGGTTTAGATCTAGTTTAGTCCTGGTTTAGATCTAGTTTAGATCTAGTTTAGACCTGGTTTTAGTCCTGGTTTAGTCCTGGTTTAGTCCTGTTTTAGTCCCAGTTTTAGACCTGTTTTAGACCTGGTTTAGACCTGGTTTAGATCTGTTTTAGGTCTAGTTTAGACTTGGTTTTAATCCTGGTTTAGATCTAGTTTAAATCTAGTTTAGACCTGGTTTTAGTCCTGGTTTAGTCCTGGTTTAGATCTAGTTTAGTCCTGGTTTAGTCCTGGTTTAGATCTAGTTTAGTCCTGGTTTAGATCTAGTTTAGATCTAGTTTAGACCTGGTTTTAGTCCTGGTTTAGTCCTGGTTTAGATCTAGTTTAGATCTAGTTTAGACCTGCTTTAGTTTCCGGCAATGAGTGGAATTACCGAAAAAAAAAAAAAAAAAAAAGAGTGTGGATATAGCCCAAAATGTGAAAACAGGAAAATATCGCTGTGTAATCTATTTATTTCAACAAAGTAACTGTAATCCAATTACCACTCACTGAAACAGTAACTGTAACTTAATACAGTTACTCATAATTTGTACTCTGATTACGCAACTGCGGTACATGTAATCTGTTACTCCCCTACGCTGTTGGTGGGGCATGTTTACGCCCGCCTCACCACCGCCACCGCCCCCTATATTTTTTTATTTCCTTATTTTTTTGCATTAAATTGAGCCAAAATCATGTAGAAATGTGTTTTAAGATGTTTTTTTTCACTGAATGTTGTCACCACACGTGTTCTTTGCATCTGGAATGCATTTATAGACAGTTTAACCAACCCAATGAGGATTTCAGGACATTTTTCATTTTTCAAAAATTTCTATCAAAAAATGAAGGTTACCTACACTAAAATGGCCAAAAAAGGGGTCACAGTTAACAAAAAAACAAAAAACAAACAACAACAAAAAAACACAAATAAAAAGTATGGAAGACAATGTCAGGCTCAACCCATTTTTGAGACTTTGGCTCCCGACTACTGCTTAAGGAGATCACAGCACGTGTTCAGGGCTGAAGGCCTCGCTCATCAGTCTGCCATTTTGCATTTGTGTTTGTGCTCGTGTGTAGTTTAGTTCTGTTTTGTGCCTTTTTGTGATTTGGTCACTCGATTCTGTTTGTTGGTTTATGTGGTTTAATTTTGGGAACTTGTGTTTTAGTTTTGTGCGTGTTCATTTGTACTTGCATGTTGTTTTGTTTCTTAGTTTAGAGTATTTTCTGTATATTTTAGTCTGTTTTGTTGATTTACCTTTACATTCCTGTTAATTAAACATGATTTAATTTATTCCATTTTACATCTTGGTTTTATCTTTGTTACTTCCCTGTCCCTAGCAGAGTTGGGTCGTGACAGTAGTAAATGTAGATTTTTCAAACCATAAACACAAGAGTAATCGTTTTAATATTGATAAAGATCTGTGCTTTAAACTCTGATTCTGTCCTGACTATGGAACTAGCACCAACGTCCTACTGGAGAAATCAAAGTGCTC